TTAAAAAAAAAAAAAAAGCTAAAGAGTAGAACTCAACAAAACTCAACATTTGAAATTAAAGAAATGGAAAAAGAAGAGAAGCAATACAAATTTCTCATCTGACAGGAAGATAAATAGCAGCCTAGTAGTTGCCTGAGATTTAAAATCACATGTTATGCTACTAAGGAAAAAAGCAAATTAATCAACAAATAGAATTGCAGAAAAAGACAAAATAATTGCAGTTCCAATTTGGGCTCAGAGTATGGAAGTGTTAAGTACTAGGCATGTATTGCTTTATTTCTTGAATTTTGTGCCAGCGATGTAAACGGACAACTCCAGAGTTGCCACCACAGCCATAGATTAGGTCCTGCACAACTAGCTGGTTTGAATAATGTTTTGTGCCCTTCAGCTCTACTTAGCCATTCATCCAAAGTCTCAATAAGACCATCTGCAACCTGCGTCAGAAATGACAAAAAAACTTATTGAGATTCTTGATGAAGCAGCTCTGAAGAGAAGGCCAAACAGAAATGGAGGACTGATTATACCAGACAAGACCAGACTTTGGGGTGCTGCCATCACTAGAGCAAAATACAAGAGACACGACATGCCATACCATGGTAAACCAACCACACTGACAGCCCTGGTTTCAGATAGTATTTACCACTTCTGATTTCATGCAGAATGGGATAGCAGCAGGGTTGGGGAAAGCAGCTGTGTTTTGCTTTTGGTTTATGCTATTCCCTTTCCTAACAAGTGAGAAGAGGTGACTTCCAGCTGGCTAGAACTGCTGTAGATACCTATAGCTCCCACCCAAGAGGTGGAAGAAAATAAACTACATGAAATTACCGTTCTCTGTCTGCTTGGAGTGCTTCTTCCAGATACAGGACTCACTGAGCCTGATGTGTCTAATTCATCGGAAGACCATGAGGACAATTCCTAAAGTTCAGAAGGAACGGAGCTCAGAAATACAGCAACTAGCTGTACAGGTAAGCAAACTACAAAAATTACCCTGAGTGAAATTCCAGCAGTTACTTCCAAGGCAAATAAAAAAAAGCAGCTAAATTTTGTTACCAAATTTTAAAAGATTAAGGCTTTACATGTTTTCTCTGTCAACCCTAAAGGAAAAGAAAAGCAAACAGCAGTTAAAACTTCCTTTGTTTAGGTGACACATCTTCCACCAAAGTCAATACAGGGGTAAAACCAGTTGCTCTTTACTGGCTGTGAATTAAAAGAAGAGTTTGGTACTACCATGATTTTAATTAAACAGGTAGAAACCCTCAAGAAGGAGGGAAGATCTGAGTTCTTGTGCTTTAAGCACTCTGCTAATCCAAGTCCGTTTTAAAAAGTCAACAAAAGGAGAACCTTGAAATCTTTACTCTGTATCTGTCACTGCTGGCAAAGAGGTATGTGTAACTCCCTCTTAAACACCTGAGATACACAACTGAGATACCTGAGATAACTTGAAAAGATTTGGACTACAGCTCAAAGCCTAAGAGGCACATATAAGAGACTCCTTACCCTATTACAAAATTTATTTTATGGGTTTTTTTTTCTCTTTTTGACAGAGTGTTTATTAACTTCCTTTCCAGTGACAACTGACGTACTATAATTTTCAGTACTGCTACTGGAATAATTATCTCATATACTTTTCCAGTTGACTGATTCGGTAATAGCAGGGTAAACATACCCAGAAGTTCAGTAATTATTGCTACATCAAATAGAAAAAAAATACTGAGTTAAACTCCCCCCCCCACCCCATATCTGAAGAGATATTTACATTCTGAAGTTTAAGATCACTTTATGATATTCATTACATGTTCCATCTTGATAAGCTCTGCAAATCGCAGAAACAGAGCAGCCAATAGCAACGATTAGAGAAAGGCAGTCGAAACAGCAGGAAACGCGCTCAGTGAACAGAAGAGAATAAAAATATGTGACTTACCAGCTGACTACTTGAAATGTCTAGAATTTTCTCTAGGTCTTTAATATGACGTGTAACCTCTTTCAAGAGGAGCTTCAGTCTGTTTCCAATGACATGTACCTTTTCTTTGGCTTCAAGACAATCCTTGCCTTCAGCATTGACTAGCAATTGGCAAGACATATCTTGCAGAGATGCCACCTTCAACTGAGACTCCAGCAGTTCACGTCTGATTTGCTGTTGCCAAGGCAAGCATCAAATTTTTTTTAATAGCAGTCAATTAAAAAAAAAAAAAAGCTAAAGAGTAGAACTCAACAAAACTCAACATTTGAAATTAAAGAAATGGAAAAAGAAGAGAAGCAATACAAATTTCTCATCTGACAGGAAGATAAATAGCAGCCTAGTAGTTGCCTGAGATTTAAAATCACATGTTATGCTACTAAGGAAAGTGAGTGGTGTACCCTACTAAGGTATATTCAGTCACGGATGCTGGTCCCACAGCTTTGTGTTAGCACACAATGTATAGTGCTAACCCCCACAAGAAAGAAATCTCATTAGATGTTTTTCTGGTGGTGTGTTTTGGGAGAGAAAAGCGTTATTATAGTCCTACCATCAGAAGTCTGTGATGATCCTGCAGTATTTCTGAGTCCAAGTTTGGGTTGATGGGCACAATCTCATTTTTCCTTCTGTCAATATTCTCCAACCAAAGCAATAAACCATGGCACAGTTCATGGAAATCCTGCAAATGATGAATTATGTTTTTAAGATGATGGCAAAGTATTCCAGTCAAATTCAGGTTTATAATTTATACTCTGATACGTTCTACTAGCTAAATGAAATAACTTCCAAGAAGTATGCAGTAGAATATTAAAATACAATTCCAGAGATGACAAATTTTGTAAATATTGGGCTGTAAATAGGTATTTTAGATAGCACAGTTGTATCCTTGAGAAAAACAGATGCCAAAGCTGTACTTTGGTTTTCATGAGCAAGTTTCAGATGGATCGTGAGCACACCAGGTAACTGACTGGTTTATATTTTCAGTATGAATTTGAAACAGGCACAGTACAGACCTGGCATTGTACTAATGCATCCTGCAACGAGCTGCGCCAGTCTTCGATCATGCTGCACACGTGCTCCCAGCGCACGTTCATCTGAGACAGGCGCTCCTGCAGCTTCTTGCTCTCCTCGCTGTCAGACTGAGTGAACTCTGAGCTGCACAGATTGATGGATAAGATGATTGCTTTGCGGTTATCAATTGCTTTCTGCAGCTCCTTGATGATAAGACAAAGGGGAATAAAGAAAGGAAATTGGTAAAATGTTACTTTCAGGGGAAAAAAATAAAAAAAAAAGTAGAGAAGGCACAAGACTGCAATGATTTGCCATCAGCAGCTGCAGAAAGGTACCATGCTGTAACAGTCCCTCCACTCTGGATAACACACTTCTGGGCTCACTCTGTGACTCTGCAAATGTCCACTCTTTAACATCTACTAACATTTTACTGTGAGCATAAACAAGAGCAAGCCAATTAAACTTAGAAAGTCTTAAAAGCCTGAACTCAGAGTTGAATTTAAAGATCTGGCTCATGTTTCAAATATTTTAAAGACAAAGTAGGTCCAACAAAATTTAAAGATGTAATACAACTGTATTTTAGCTCACAATAAAACTTTTGCCCTCACTTCTCAGTTTTGCTGATAAACATGAAAACCAACTTATTTTCAAGTGGAAACTGCTGTCATCAGTATTTTAAAATAAAAGCTTTTACTGAGAGAAACAAAAACATACAAAGACTATAAAGAACTTAAATTTATAGAAGCACAACTTGCATGAAAACTCTTTTGTTTACACTGGAAGCCACAAAAGAAACCTTATCTCTTTTGGTTTGGAGGGTACTAATGGTCTTTCAAAGAGAGGGTGAGATAAGAACAGAATTCTTAAGAAATGCCCCGTTTTCCACCTACTTTACAGCATTTAATTAAAAGCACGATGTCACAGTAACCTTTGCAGTACTTATGGCAGCTATATTTGGATTACAGTGCAGATTAGCATTGACATGCTTCACAAGGATCACTGCCGGAAACAGCCTTTACTATCTGTTCACCTCATCCCTGGCATGAAGCACAGTGCATTTTGACATTGGGTCCCATGTTTCTGTGCCCACTCTTGTAAGATACTAGTAACTGAATGTGAAGTTGCGGACCACCACACTTGCAGATCTTTATAGCTGTGAAATACACAACAGAGATGAAAAAGTAACCTTCAGATCTTGATGCACCCGAGATGACAGAAGAAGAAAAGGAACGTTGCAAAGGGGCAACAGATTTTTATTACACTGGTGACACTGGGTAGGTTTCAACCCCTTTGTAATTAATGGCGTCAGGAGTTATCTGTACATTCTGAGATTACCACAGAATTACTATTCCAAAACTTCATCTGGATAGCCAGTAGTACATTTTCCTTCCAAAAAGTGATTCAGAAAATCACCTTCCCAGTTACTTTATCAGCAGCAGCCTGCTATGTGGAGAAAACCAGCTGCAATTATTGGCAACCTCTTCAACATACCTGTTGTGCTCAGTCTTAGATGGTAACTCATGGAAAAGAGAAGTAAAACTCACTTTTAGTTTTTTAATTCTGAGTTCAATAGTTTGAATGTCAGTGCTGAGATCAAGGTGGTGGAGCTTCTCCAGTTCCTCTTCAGTTTCCCCCAACCAAGCCCAGATGCTATTAAGGTCGGAGTTGAACTGCTGCCATTGCTGCAGGTTCTGCTTCATCCTCAGCTCCTTGCTTAGAGCTTGAGCCTGGATTAATTCCCATCTTTCAATTACACCTGAAATTACAAAAACCAAATTCAACAAAAGCCAAAAAACCCACAAGGTACACATACACACTCAATTGCATAAATTGAATACTATTCAGGACAAAAATATGCTCCATAAAAAGCCTGAGCCACAAACACTAACCACTTTAAAAACTAAGCTAGATTGAAGAAAATTATGATGGAGAGAAAGAATGAAGAACCTGGATGATTCCAGAGAACAAGCAATTTTATTGCTTTCTAACGTCAGACTTCTATGAGCAGGATTAAGCTGATACATGCAGGTCTCTAAAACAGGTCATGTTGGCAAAAAAAGACACTTTAAATTACTAGACAAGTGCAAACCAGACAAGAAATATTAATATATCTAACTAACCACATATTTATTATTTTCATTTCATGTAGTTGTGCCTATCACAGTTTAATGGTCACACCTCACTACATTTGCCTTAGCTACCACTGATGCATTGGATAAACACCTGCACTAAAAAGAAATAAATTAGGGGCTATTTCTTCTTGCTAGTTATCTTGAAATGCTAAGGCAGAAGGACAAGTTGTATCATTCCATCAACTTAAAATTTACAAACAAAATCCCACAACAAAACAAAGGAGACTATATGGGTAGCATATCTTGCCAAGCTAAGAAAGGAGATGATACCTTTATAGTCTCTGGAAATTCATGTTCTCACAATCAAATACCTCTTATTCTAAAACTGATGTTTAAAATTAGTAAGGTGAATACTTCTATCAGGTGAAAATAAATTTCTTTACTCTAGGTAGATAATCTTAGAGGTGAAAGCTAATATTAGAAGAAACACATGTTTTGCACAGAATATAAGCAACCCTCTTACAACAAAAACCCATTGCATCCACAGAGACTTCCTGAGAGGCTTAGGGTTATGCCTCATGATATGAGGGGGTTCTTAAAATGGACTTGTATACCTAAACTCTTCTTAGGGCATACACAGGGAATACTTACTATTCATTATTATTCCTGTTAAAATATGTTAAGCAGAAGATGATAACAGAAAGTCATATAAATATGTCAGCATATAATACCAAGTGTTTGTTCAGAAAAGCTTTGCATGTTAGCTGTTTTCCATAATTGCTGTTCCTCAAAGGAGCTACGTGTTACTTACCAGCTGTTTGCGTTTCAGTACTGTTCATGTTAATGAGTCCTGAAAATTTTTCTTCTTCCTCCTTCAGTTTATATCCAAGCCTTCTTACTGAGTCTATGCTTCCACTGCATTCACCTAGCAGTTTCATCTGTGTTAAGAAACAAATGTTAACAAATGCTTTTCAATGTGCGCTGCACAGGACTAATTGTATGGACACTGAAAATTACAATGCAACTTCCAGAAATTTCCAAAAGTAAGTATAAGTGTGAAGAAAAGGATCTATTACTTTAACAACCTTTGCTGGTACTACAAGAAAAGTATATTCAGATGATGAAGGCCTAAAGTGTAAGTTATTTCCATATAACTTAGCACCATTATGCCAAATTGTTCTCGATGTCTTAGGTGCCATCTTTTCCAAATTTTAAGACAACACTAGAAGACTGATAAAGAAAATTAATATAAATATGGAAATATTACTATGCATCCAAAGCAGCTAATTTTGAAGCTCTGTCTTTAATAAAATCATTTGAATGGCTTAGAGAGAGAGATTTATCTTTCAGAAAACCCCTCTGAGAAAACTTTTTAATCAGGGATTCCATACATGCTGATATGATGCATGCTTATGATTTGTTAGCAAGATGAATACTGCACCTGAAGTTATAAAACCTGTTTTAAAAGCAGAGGAATTTCAAACAAGGATATCATCATTAGATGGATAAAAGCATATGTGAGAAATGTAATAGGAGATTAAATTCCTTAGAGTCATGTTCCTCTAATCTTATGCTATTGTAAACAGTTCTAACATAAACACCAATAGCATGTAAGGGTTAAGGGTAGTAACCACCCAAGAGAGTCTGAGAAGCAGTTACAGCAAATTGCTCTGCTGAAGCAGCTGCATCTCCTTCGATGGCTAAGCTAAGCTAAGCTTGGAGTGCACATTTGACACACGCACATATCCTCTGTAAGTGGAATCCAGTTCTGGCCCTGTAGGTGTCTTGCTACGGATGATGTTTTCTGTTTGCTGTATCTGGAAGCGACTGGTGTCCAAGGCCTTGTCCAGCTGTCGGATATGTGCTTCCAGGGCACCTGGTTCACCTGTATCAAAATCAAAATAGAGGGACTGTCACCCCAACTTTTCCAAAGTTTTTGTTTTTTTTTTCCTTGCCCAGGCAGAATAGATATTAGGAATACTATTTAGATTAGATGGTGAAGGAGAAATGTGGCGGCAGCAGTATGAGTGGTACAGTGTCAAAGCTAAGTGTTAACTAGGTACATTAGAGAGTTAGCAACCTTCAAAAGATGATACCAGTGAACAAGCTTGCCATAAGAATACACAGAATACAGAACAGTCCAAGTTTAAAGCAGGTTTGCAAATTATTCTGAAGTGGCTTTTCCCCCATACTGAATGCCTTGTCTTTTTTTAAAGAGAAAGTTCTCAGCATAGCACACTCTAAACTCACTGATTTTGGGAAACACCTTGCTCCCTTTCACAAACACTGTCAAATAAAATGCTGTAACCCAAATCTCCACTTGTATGATCTAAATCCATGTGAAAATTTGGTAGCTTCATTTCCCTTTGTATTATTTCTCCCCTCTAAAAAGCAGTAGAATTTGCATCTCCATGAAAAGATCCTATTTGTATACAATTTTAGAGACTATAAATGGCATAGAAGTGCTAAGTGATATTGTAATATTGTCAAAATCCAGAGATGACTGACATCTCAGAGGCCTGCAGCAAGTAGTCCATGCCTGCTTTGGGCAACCACACTAAGCAGCAAAATTTATAGCATTTTTCCAATTACGTACTTGACAAAGTCCATGCTTAACATATCTGCAAGATGGTCTTATTCATTCAAGCTATTGGGAACCAATATCAATATTTTTGAAGCAGGACTAACTTGTACTTTCCTTATAGGGGTCAGATGAATTCTGTGATATAAACTGGCTACAGACAATTCTAATGGGAAGCTGGCTGCAGCCTAGAGGACCATGCTAGATTCTCCTTATCCATATTCTATCACTATGCCTGATTTCCATCTGTTTACAAAGACAGTTTGAATTTATTCATAAAGACACAATTAAAAACATGAATAGAGAAAGAGAGCCTTCTATCCACCTAATTACAGAAAGCGGAGCCTCTTGGATGATTAATCTTTTTTCATATTGAATACAACATCACCCCAAATGGACAGGACAGAGTGGTCAACATTGCTTTTCACTCATTACTTTAAAAAAATTTTCATGGGTCAGAAAACTAAACACATTTTTTCCATAAGTGCTGCTATTACTTATACCCTTAATCAATAACATTATTTCACTAATTTGGGGGGTAAATAAAAATGGATGGTGAACCTGAGGCTTGTGTCACAGACACTAAGATTTTAATTGTTTGCTTTTGCAAAGAAGTAATTACTTAAAAAGTGGGAAACTGTGAAATCATGAGAAAAATATACGTGCAAATGCATCTATTTCCTCCAAGAGAGTCAGCAAACAAATGAGACAGAAGGTTTAGTCTTCTGCAATGAGAAAAGAAAATAATTGTCCAAGATATGAGACTAAGATAAGACAGTACCTCAACTTGACATTTTGAGCACATGAAACAATTAACCTCAAAGTTTATATCTGTGTGATGATGTGGCTGTGTTAAAAAAAAAATAAATAAATGCAAACCTGAAAAATTAGGTATTGTTCTACATCTTTTCCTTCTGCCTTAAGATGTAACAATGTATTAAGTCCAGCTGATGGACACCAGAGGAAAAAGACCAATCAGATCTGTTTAGCTTACTTAGCCAAGGTGGGAGAGCTAATACTTCAGACATCGTTGTTTCTTCCATGCCCCCAGTTGTACCTTTAAGTGCAGTAGTAAAGCAGGAGGTTACTTCTAAGTTAATATGCCAATGCTGCTATGTAAGAAATATTTATCTTGTAAGTTGTGAGAAAATAGCAGACGCTAGGAGAAGAGAAAGAAGTTACACTTGCACATTGTGGGTTTTGCATCTGGCTAAGCTTAGTCTTTTATGATGCCTACCAGAGATATTTTTGAGGGCGTTTTCTGTGAGTGTTACATAGGCCTCTAGAGTTTCAGGGATCTCTACATCTGAAAAAATAAAAGCACAATCTGAATTGATGGCTCAGCAATGGCCGTCTCCTTACAGCAGGAGTCCTTTTCACGGGATGGATTAAATAAATTGTTCCAATAGCAAACATTCTCTCTGGAGGGGGAAAAAGATGAAGACTGAAACACAGGGACAAAGTCTCTTAAGATCCAGGCAAACCTGACTCTTTCCAGAGCAATGACCTGGAAAGCGAAAGACAGCCACAAGATCAGAGCAAAATACACTGGTACATCTTATCCCACAACTAGGTTCATTGGGGCACCCCCACTTGTTAAGATTTATTAGACAAAGCACAAACTTTTAGAAAGGATTTCCAGCTTCACTGGAGAACAAGACCAAAGATCCTACCTCAGGCTAAACACTCATTTGCTGGAGTCTTGCCTGCATCAGGGCAGACTTAGGATTTACTTAAACACATTATGATTTTCTCTGTGGGTCTCTCCCAAGCATTTCTTCATTAGTTTGTTCTGCACTTTTTGCCATATCCAGTATGGTTTCTTCTAGTCAGAATAACTTAGGACACAGAGCTGTCACAGATGACATATCCCATCTGGCAGGCCTCACGCATAGATACACAGCCAATTCCCTGCCATATCATGTACGCCTCTGCCATTTTCCAAGGCTGTCGTCATCCAGGAATCTCCATCACTAAGGCCAGAGGGCCACTGGGATCACTTAGGAAACACTATTTAAAGTCATCAGGGGCTATTTAAAGTACTTTTCCATGAGAATCTTGGCCACACAATCACACATGTAACATCTGCCTTTTTTTCACTCGGAGAAAACAGAGCACTCAGTCCACTACTGTACCTGCTATGCCAGCTGCTCCTCTCAGGTAGAAGTCTTTTTCTTGTCCTCCGTCTTCTTCTGAGTGCAGCGCCCGTGAAACAGCTGTCTCCAGGTCCCTGCTAAGGTCGTAGTCATGATCCCACTCCAGGGGGATGGAGTCCACGCTCGCAGGGGTATCTCGCCCCGATCGCTCGCTCCTCAGCAGCTGGGAAAGAGGCAGCGAAAGGTTGGAAGAAGGGTGCGGGGAGAGAACGCTGTCCGCAGATTTGTCATGCCAGCGTATGTCAGAGAGATCTGCTGATTCATCCAGATCCACCTCTCTGTCAGAGAGGTCGTGCTCGTCATCTGTTAGCTAGAAGCATAATGCAAACAGAAGCTATCAATGAAACGTGCAGAGGCAGTGCATGGTCAGCCTGGGTCAGTGAGATAAAGCAGCATTAGGTGACAGGCACACTGGTGGGGTTTCCATTTTGCTCCTTCCCTTAATTATTTTTAAGTTGTACTAAAAAGCCACCATAACAAAGGAGATCAAAGTGAAAGCTCATTTTAATTACTTGAAATCCCTGGATTTTGTTCCTTTCATTCAGTAGAACTTCAGCTACCAAATTTTTCTTCCTTTCACTTTCTCCTTTTGTTTTCTTTTTTTTGCTTTTGAGCTTGTGTTAAATTCTGGAGACAAATTTCTGTCTCTTCTGAGAAGAAAACTCTTCATTCCAGTTTTTTGAAAAAAAAACAACTCACTAAGCTGCCAGTCAAAGTATCTGACAGTGCAGGGAGATGTTTTTATGACCAGTACCACAGTGCTACTCCCATGAATAAAGTTTTATAAATCTCTGATTTGCATGGATTTTCATGATGATTTACAGAAATCCCAGTTTGCTCTCTCTCTGAACAGGACACAAATAGCATGCAATGGAAGGGAGGTGGATGGTCAGGGTTGCAACAAAATTTAACCACTGGACTTTGGGAAAGTTATTTAGGTTTCAATTCAATATCTTTCCTCACTCTCACACTTGCAAAATGGCAATGAACCAAACAAGTAAAAATATATGTAAGTATACACACAGGAAGGCGGATAAGTTTCTTGTGATAGCGCTCCACACGCCCGAAGACCTCTTGGCAGTAACGACGCAGCTCATCTAGCTCTTCTTCAATCACAGCTGCATCCAGGGGCTCACTTTTCTCAATGAGCTGCTCACCTTGCACAATTATCTGCTCAATTTTGTTGTTGTTCAGGGAAATTTCTTGCTGGAAAGCCTGTGTAAAAGAAAAGCTCTTGCTTTAACAATAAAATCAACATGACAACAGTCTGGGTAATTAAAGATGCGAGTCTTAAAGATTTTTTCAGAAAGAATGGTGTGGGTAACAAACAGGGATTGTGCCAAATACTCTTGTCATGAGCAACAATAAGCAATTAAATTAAATTTAGCATTCCACAGTCTTTCAAGCCAAAACCAGTGATACTTCATGGTTTACCATCTCATTCCTTACTTGTTGAATTTGGAAAGAAAACTCTTCTCTAAACAAGCCATGTCAATGACCAAATGTCTAGAATGAGCACAGACACTAAACCTAGCACAGTGGATTTTTGGATAATGTGACATTTGGTATTGTTCTCTCCAGATAAGGAGTTTTCTGATGCAGAAATGGTTGAGAAATGTAGTAATTATTAGATATAAGCAATAATGGAGACCTTACATAAATATTTTTTATTAATATTTCCTATTTTGATGAGGGAAAGTATGCTATTGCCCCTAGTTTTTCTTTTTTCATTTTTCACATATCAGAGGTGTTCTATTTTGACAGAAAAGCACATATTGGAATCTGACATAAGTCATAACTTTTGAGGCTGAAGTCTCCGCCTGCAAGTAAAGGAACCACATGAGGCAGCATTTCTGCATAATGTTTCTTGAAATTCTTTTCCCACCATGCTTGGGTTTTTTTCCCCCGCTTCTTTCATCCCTCCTTCTGTAACTACCCAATCATTCTTTACCTTAAGTTGCTTTATCTTTGCTTGGACATCACACTCTGAGAAATGCTCGATGTTGGTCAGCTGCAGGTCCATCTCTGTTAGCCATACCAGGATGTTGTCACGTGCCGTTTCAAACTCTTCCCGCTGGCCAATAAAATGCTGGAGGGTGGAAAATTGAGTGGCATGTAATGATCAGAATCATGAAAACGCCCAGCAATAGTAGGGAAGTGAATTTCATCCCCATCAAACCAAATTTAAACTCAGTACACCTTCTTCTTTCCTACATGCTTTCTAAGGTTCCTTTTTAAGTAACACCATCTCAAGCTGCAATTAGCTGACCTATGAAAGCTATCTTCTGTGAGGAAGATGGTGTTTGATGTTACCAAGCATCTGCCTACAGTCTTTAGACTAAGTGAACTGATGAGCTTCCTTTCTCTTCCAAAGGTAGAAACCCCCTCAAAAACACTGTGCAAATGCATTAAACTGAAAGCTGCTCAAGTACCCTTGACTCGCAACTAGAGTAGTGAAATTGAAATCTTAAAAATGGAGAAATACTTTTAGCCTGCGCAGGATGGAGGTAACTCGCTTTTGTAGATTGTCCCATCTCTGGTTCCCCTCATGAACCATCTGCTTGAGGCTGCCATTGGAGTCAGTGCGGTTCTCCCGTGCCAGGCGCCGATACTGCTTATTGATCAGCTCCAGCTGAGTCAGGCTTTCATGCACTTGTCTCTGGAAAGCCTAAAGCAGCATGAACAAAAGACACCTTCAGAATTTTGATACTGAAAATGGGACACATATATAGATCTCTTGCTTTATTTTGACCCTTCTTCTGCACTCTGACTTATGTAAGCCAATAAATTCCACTAGCAGGAGACATCTCCTGAGGGCCACCCTATAGAGATGCTGTCTTCTAATTAAAAAAAGCTAAACCAAAAAACCAAAAACCTCTCCAAAAAATCCCTCAAAAAAGTTTATAGAACTGACATGGTTCACTGAAAGAGAAATTGCAACATGAATATCCATTGTAAAGGCAAAAGTGCAAAAAAACTGGCTTATCTTTCTGCAAAATTATATGCTTTGGTAGTTGAGAACAGAAGTACAAACAATGAACATGAAACTCTTTTAAAAAAAAAGGAGCAGAAATCCAAGATTCCTGTGGCTTCATTGTATTTCTTTTCACATACTGAACTTGCTGAAATGCAAATTCAAATTGAAGTGATTTGAGCAATTGTTTATTCTGAAACACAATACTAAATGAGACATCTATTTAGTATACTGGTGTGCAAGTAAGTTTTATCTTAAAATATTCACAGAAGAGAAAATGTCACAAATATCCATGCCAGCTTATGTCTGGGCAAATGTTTGCACCACATATTTTTGGTGCTTGCTCTGCTGTTACACGAGCCACAGAGACACAGCTGACTGAGGTGCACAGGTGACAGTCCATGGCTTTTATGCTGTGACTAGCAATCATGAATCTTGGAGGAAGCACCTTGTAAAGAAATTACTGAATTAATACTACTATTACCACTACTACAACCACTACCAGAACATTTTTCCAAAAATCTACTTGTTTTTATCTTGTCACATCACCAAAATAGAAAAGCAGTCAAAGCAAGACCTAAAAACCTAGACTACACCAGCTCTCTTTTGAATACAAGTAGGGTCTGGATTCCACTGTAGTTCTCCAAATTTGCTGTCTCATATTCCTCAAAATGCAATAAAACAGACAATCTCTTCCAAAACTAGACACCTCCCTTAATGAGGACTGTAGAACTGGGATAGGTAATATACTTGTGTAGAGAAAGTTTAATCAAACATGTGAGTTTTCTACATAAAAAGATATACACTTCATACTGTACCATTCAAAGCTAGAAATTAAATAAGCACATTTCTGCTGTAATACCAGAGAAAGAAGTAAAGAAACTGGCTGGAAAAAAGACCAAATTCTGTAGAGTCCTCTCAACATAATTATTCTCTTCTTTGAATGACCATCAAACTGGGTAGAGGACAACCAAAAAAGAGCAATAGCACTTGCAGCTAGGGTTAAATGATCAGTAGAACTGAATTAATTTAAAATTGCACAAGAATTCTTATATTGGAGGTACAATTCTGACTGTATTTAGTAGAGTCATGAAATCTAAGCGTGCAGTTGCTGTTTCACCTGTTACCAAGCCTTGTGCAGCACAAGAACAGCTGTTTATTTGCCTCCCATTTTTTCCTCTTGGCTACACAAGAATTCATCTGTTGCATTCCCTCCTGTAACCTCTTTTCACTTCTCCACAAACTACTGGAGAGGAAGGAGTTTGGTTTGTATAGTCAAGTCAGTGAGAGCCATCTCTGACATCTATGCTGAAAAACTGAAAGGTTCCTATATGGTCCGATGAGCTCTTTTTGTTATGTGTTGTTGTGTTTTTTAATTAAAGTGCAGATATGGAGAAGAAAATAAAATTAGAAAAAATGCCTAGTTAAAGCAGAAACCTGCTTCTGTTAGTATTTTTAAGTGGCTGACTTCATACTGAATTCACAGTAAAGCTATTGAATGCCGCTGGATTTCAATACTACCTTCCTACTGTTTGTTAGGCAAAGAAATCAGGTGCTCAGGAGAAAAAGAAAAAGGATAAAAAAAAAAGAAGGAAAAAAGAGAAAGAACCAAACTACAGGGAAAGGAAGATTTTTGAGAGGCTACAATGTTCGCTTTGCACCTTGTTCCTGCTGACACTATAGACAGTAAAAAATCCACAAGTCTGCTGCAGAGGAAAGATTACCATAACAGATGAGGTTCAATGAAATAGACTTTGGGCAAAGTAAATTCAGCTGTAAAAATCAGAGTCAATACACTTGTGGTATGGCTTCTCATACAGAGAGACACTAAACAGGAGATTTAAATCCTGATCACCACATAAAGGGACAATGGGAAAGAGGTCTGAGGCAGAGTATTTGTGACCAGGAAGCAATTCACATTTCTATACTATGGCAATCTACCTGGCCATAATGAAGTCTGTGTAAAACCAAAACCTGGCCAGTACAGGCCAGGCATATAAATGTCAATGCCAATTATATAGCACAGTACTTCACAGTTTTGATTTAACTGTTAAACCAAAACCTATCAATTGTGCTTAGACATTGTTTAAAATTTGCATTTATTCTTCACAGTAAATACTTTACAGTGTCTAACTGTTTACTGAATTGCCTAAGTAATTTGTTCTCTTTCTTTTCTCCCAGATTGATATACTCTGCAAATATGAATCCATGCAAAAGATTTTCCTCTGTGACTCACCTGGCAACGTGTGTGTGTGCTTTACACACAGGTTTACAATCCCTTGTAGCTATGAGACAAGCCCTCACACTGCAGTGGACACAACAGAGTCATATAACATGCTCCTAAGCACTGACCAAAGGGACAGCTTGTCAGTTTTGAAGGATGCTTAATTTTTTTAAGTCACAAGGGACACCATGTGGACATACAACAATATTTGCATGAACATGAATTTCATGTATAAGGATCCAAAGTTGGGATATTCTGCATCATACCAGTGACTTCAGAGAGCTGGCCTCAGAGAATTATGGAAAAAAGAGGAGGGAAAAAATCAAAGCAAAAGCTAGAACACACAGCATGCATTTGAAGGGGTACTTGGTGAAGAGAGACTTAGGAAGGGCTCTGGAACAATGACTGACTAGACATTAAAAAAGCTGCAGAAATAAAAAAAGGTGAGGCATCTAGCTTTTGTGAACAAACAGTGGAGGCACTTCCAGTTGCCACCTTCCACTGCCATTTCATCTTAGTAACCTGCCACTGAAGACAGCTACAAAATCATCAACTCCACTTTATTAATACAGCATCTCTGCTGTAACTTGGTTATGGGATGGAAGAACACCAGCTGGCTGCTGCAATGTGATCAGTAGGTATTGAATTTCAACCACTATAAATCACCTCAAATTTCTTCAGCTCTTCCTTAGCAACAGTGTAAAGCACACCAGAGGAGCTTGGGAAAGCAGCTGTCCTCTCAGAGGCTTTTAGCCACTCTTCAAATCTAGAGTAGTCATCCAAAAATTTTTGCCATAGCCGCCAGGTCTCTTCAATTCTGCAAAAGATAACAGAAAATTAGGGAATTCTTGGACCGATGGCCAGTTGACCAACAGAACTTGAACCTGTCATCTGCAACAGCAAACTAGCACTGCACTAGACAATAACTAATAATCTAACTCTGCCAGCCAGACTGTTCAACAGACCACAGGGAAGGCTGGCTCATTCCAGACTAAGATAGGCTTTTTTTTTTTTTTTTTTAATGCATCTAATTTTGGAATCAGTATTTAAAAGTTTTATGTTTGTAATAGAAGCTCTAAAAAGCTGAGCACACACTAAATAACTTCTGAAATGCAGTGCCAGTGACATCAGCAAAGTTGCTCTGTAATACAAATAACTGTTTCTAGTACAATAAAGATCCTAAATACTGATAGCTCAGTTAACTTACCAGTACAAATCCACTAAAGCATAATGTGCACATTCTAAGAAAGTAAAACAGAGTTCCATGCAGTTCTGAATTGATGTGTTGGACACAAAGTTACAAAAGCCATGCATGTTCATAGACAATGTGGAAGATAGAACTTATAAATGTAGTTATAAGTAGAACTTTTAACACAGAACTTATAGATATATACAATTCAAGAATTTCCATGGCAATCGTATAAAATTACTTAACGTATGAATCTGTGGATATAGATTCAAACCTACAAGCAATAAATGTTTTGCATAAAATAAAGAAACCCACTTTAGTAAATACATTAAGACTATCCCACAAAATTAAAGATCATAAAAAGTTCAATTCAGCATTTTGAAACATCAAGTTCTTCCTAGTTTTTATATGACTGTAATAAACATATCAGAAATATGCTTCATAACTTAAAAAGTTTAAGAAAATATCTTAAATACAGGAGTTTAAATCTGTGAACATGTCTCATTACTAAGTCAGCACACAGTACACAGCATAGCCCCACATCATTAACCTACATCATTACTGCTGTTGAAATCAACAAATTATGCTGTGTGGGAATAGAAAACAATGAACCTTCTGGATATGATTGTCTAAGCATGTGCAGTTACCCAGATTACACCCAAGAATCCTGGGTGTTGTGGCCCTCATTTGCTCAGCACAGCTAATGTGGACAGGTGAAGAAATTCCATGTAAGTGCTCAGTCCTAAAAATTCTTCCAAATGAACAAAATCAGACATAAGAGAAACTGCTGAGGAACACTAGCTACATATAAACCCTAGCATCTGGAATAACTTTCCACCCATTCAGTAACTAGCTTCCCATCAATCTCAGTAGTTCTTGCGTAAATTTAAGTATTACAACCTCCCTTTTTCATGTTTTCTAAATTTCAGAGTCATTTCTATCATCTAAACTTTCTCTAGTTTCTCTCTCATCATAACTGTGAAGTATGGGAAATAATAAATCATTCTATTGAATGACTTGTGAGTGAAATTTGAAGATTATCTGTGCTTTGTATAAAGGCATGTGGAACCTGAAATTTCACTTTTTTCATAGAGGCATAGCAGCTATTGGATTACACTCAATGTTTGATCTTTTTCTAAACCTTACACTCTCTTATTCAGTACTACAACCATATAATGTATACTTAAGTCGCCTTTCCATTGACATTGCACAGATATTTCTCCACCTCCTATCCAAATTGCGTGTAGCCTGCTGGATAGAGTCACATTCTGCTTCTGTGGCACAAGCATCACAGTCGTGAAGAAGTACTTCACACAGATTGAGAACAGATGCCACGCCAGTGCTGTGTTTCTCTATGTCCCTCTGGAGTTCCTGCAGGTGAAGAGATCAGTTCTTAAGAGAAACTGCAAAACATACATCCATGCAAATGTATTTATCTTCCACTTACTTAAAACAAGAGAAAAGCTTGCAAACAGAAGAAGAACATCCAGTAATACCATCTGAGAGTGCATCTACGCAAGTGGTGATGCAATGTTATCAATGAGGCCAGGAGAACCTGGCAGCATGCACAGCTCTCCCAGAGACTACGTACACCAAACCATTAACTGGGACAAACTGCCAGAGCTCTGCATGCTCAGCTGAGCATCTTTCACACACATTTAATCAACATCACAAATAAATGGTAAAATTATTCTCAGCCTTTCCCATTATCACAGAGAATGTAAAGCAGAAGTTAGTAAGAGAAGTGCGACAAGGAAATACATTCTTATGTACTGCAGGGATTTGGTGGAGGGACCCTTCATGAACATGTTGCAGGTGAGATAGCTCCAAAGTGACATGTTTGACAAGGAGATTGGCAGCAGCACATGTTGAACAGTGCATGTGTAGGAGATTTTTCTTCCATCAAGTTTCCAGTTCTATAATATTTTCACTGGAGATGAAAAATGAAAATTCCAGACACCTAAGGAAAAATGCACTCACATCATCTTAGAACTTACTACATGTGATCAGTATTATTTTTCCTGGTGGTTTCTTGGTTTCAATGATTTGTTCTACACTGATGATAATGTTTCCTCTAGAATTAGTATTTCACCTTAGTTTTGATCTTCTGATTTAAGTTAAGACAAGCCACAAAAGTGATTAATTGGCTGTTGCTGTTGGATCAGTGCAATGAAAAGAAACTCTGCTTTTGTCAACATTTGTAATAAATTTGAATATTACATGGAAAAAATCAGTATGGACAATAATAAAGCCAAGACAGCCTAATTCCAGTTGTGACAAAGAAATACTAGTATAACTACATCAAAAAGTGCTATATTGCATCTAGATAGAATACTAGGTTCATTTCTGATTCAGATGAAGGAAGGAACCAATAGGAGAATTAGAGATGTGGAGGTTTACGTAGGAAAATATGGCAGCTTGAGGATAAGTAGAGATAAACTGCTCTATAATTTTGCAATTAAAGTAAACTGTGGCATTCAAAGGGAAATACAGTGTCAATACACTGTGCCTACACATATTTAAGGTCTAACTGAAATGAACTTTTCTTAAAGATAGCAAAATGACATAGGAAATGAGATCTAAATCCTGAATTAAAATACTCAAGAAATGGGAAATAGACCAAGGTGGACCTTTTTTTTGTTGTTGTTTTTGTTTGTAAAAACTGGGGTTTCACTTAAGTAATCTAGTTCATCTTCTCAATTAGAAAGTTATTTTGTGAACATCTGCTTGAGAACATCAAGTGGAAAATCACAATCTTTTCTTCCTTGGCAATGGCCCTCTCACTTCACTTGCCTGAAAAATACTTTCATTGTGATGTCAAAGTGTTTATTTTTCTTTCTATCTGCCCTGAAATATTATAGAAAGGTGGATACTATATTCAGATGTCATACTTTATGAAACACACACTCCAGACAGCTATGAGACTTGAGGTTAAGTAAGTTCAGGTAACATGATCACTCTTCTAATGTTGTGGATAAAGCAGTAGTGAGAACTGTGGGTCCAGAGCATTCCTAAGAATTACACTTTTTTTATTCACCTACAGAACATTTCCACAAGCAATGCCTACTTCTTCTCCACAGTCTAATATTTATTTCCCAGATTTCAAAATTTATTATGTTTATTAGAGAACATTAAGCCTTTGGGTTAGTTCACAAAGGAGTGTCACTTTTATGCACTGCTGTCACCTATACAAAACCTATTTTTTTTACTTTATTTGCCCAGAAGCAAACATCATCTTTCCACACTTCAAGAGACTGAAGATTGAGAAAATAAACAAACAAGTATCCTTTAAATTAAGTTCATTACCCCACGAAAATCCTGCATTGAAGATACACTACTTGCCCCAGGATATTCAGATTCAACTGCATTTTTAGTTTCACTAGAGACCAGCAATCTGCAAAGCTAATGCTTGGCTAAAGCAGATGCTGAAAAGCAGATAATGGAGTTTCATAAATGGAATTTGTCCCTCTTTCACAACACAACATTTTTTAACCTGATTTTGCATATGAACAACTGGGAAGACAACATGACCTCAGTGGAAGGTCAGACACGGAAAAGAACACAAAGTCACTAGGAGAAGAGAGAAGGAACAAAGTATTTAGAGAGAAGGTAGCCTTCTGAGGTGTGGTGGATAGTGATATAGCCTCCAGCTAATAAAAATACTGGTTGCCATGCATTGGAAGTGGATAGGTTTTTAAAATTATTATTATTATAACCATATCTTGTACCATTATCAAATCATCACTGTATTTCCAAATATGGCATCCTCCCATTGTAAGATTCACCTCTATTTCTCCCCTTTAGAGTTCAGATTAAACCACTCTCACTTCTACAGAACGTCACTGCCTGCTGTCACCACAAGAAAACAGTGGAAGGCAGAGATATACCAGTCTCTGTGCCCAAAATAAAACCTCCAAGAAGTGGCTGTAACAAACTATGGGATATCTGCACACAGGGATTCTAGTACATAATCTCAACTGTCTACTTTGTTGATAGCAATGTTTAGCCCTTCCCAGCACTTTATTGTGTCAGAAACACCATTCATTAGTGACACTTCTGTGCTATAAATTATTATCCCTATGTAAATTCCATATAAAATATTGATAAGTAATTCTGAACAGAGAACTAGCAAATCGGTTGAGGAGCTGGAAGAATCTCTGAGGGAGTACTTGGCTGTCAGTTCTACCCTCAGCTTAAAGGAGCAAAATGCCCATTTGTACTCTTCATAAATTATCCACAAAATATCCTGTGTTTCCTTTTCCCACGCATTTCTTTCTCCTCTGGAGAAAGGACCGAGGAGAACATCTAACTCATCTCCAGTGGGCAACAGAAAGGTATTTTTGCCAATAAATAACCAACTTGAACACAAAGGACAATTCTCTCCAGCAATGTGCTTCTAGGTAAAACTGCACTGGGCAGTGAAGTGGAACAGGAAGGAGAAAGTATAGTAAATCATCTTAGAAGTAACATTAGTTTAAATGCCAAAAACTGGCTGACTTCAAATTTTTCTACATATTTTCATCTAGCACTGCATAAAGGCTTTGTGTAGTATAAACCAATCAATTTTAACTTCACATGTATAGCTAGCTCATGCATCTTTGCGTGCAAAGTGACTCTCAAACAAGCTGCAAAATAAAACTGAGTTAGAAAGGTTGCTAAAACCAATAATTTTCAAGCATTTGAAAAATTTGCAAGGTCTAATAGGTGTCAGTTTTGCCTCTGGGAACAGACAATTCAAACAAACAAAAACCACAAGCCCCAAAGGAAAACAATTGCAATAACTCGTTCAGGTTACATCTCTTGGTGCCTTACCTTTCTTGGAAATGTCACCCAGCTCCTGGTGGATTCGATGTCAAGGCCAGCAGAAGGCTCTATAAGTGACACAGTAAGTACCACTTGCCTTGATATTTAACCATTTCGCCTCATGCCCCCTCAACTGCACTGGTTGTGGGCAGCCCATGGACACTCTGGCTCTCCCCATGTCACTGTTCACCTGCTAAGTGTGCTGTATTTTACCTGCTGCTCATTTAGCTTCCTTTGTATCTCCTCAGAGTCACAAGTTTCATAGACGATGGGTTTGGACAGCTCTGACTCAATGTGGGCAAGCCAAGATCTCAGACTACTCATGTTTTTATCCAGCTGCTGCACTGCAATGAGGGTTTCCTTCAACTTCTTTACCCTGTAAAGGAAAAAAAAAAGGGAGTATTAAGTACACCCTGAAGAAAACTTTTCACAGCATATGCTTCAAGAAGTTTTCAGAAAAACTTCACTTAGATGGCGAGTTTTGTTGTAAAGTCTTCCTTTATTATGTGACAGAAGTACATTATACATGCAGAGTCCTGAATTCATAGCTGCTGGTTAAGAAAAATTGAGTGCTTACTAATGCCACACAACATTTTCAAACCTTCTGTACCTTTATCAGTCGACTTTAATATTTGTTAAGAAAAGTTTTCTGTGGTTTTTTGATTTTTTAAAATTAATGAGCTCACACACATCAAACCCCCAAAACAATCTAAGTAATTTAGTTGTGTATTTGATTAATAGATGACAACTGTTATTCTTAGAGTACAAATAACTTATCCTGTACTTGTGGGAGAGTGCACTGAGTGAACAGGCCTTTTTCACAACCATGAAAACACTCAACTAAGTAACAGAGAAGATTTGGGTTGGAAGGGATCGCTAACAGTTATCTAGTCCACCTGCTCTGCAATGAGCAGGGACATCCTCAACTAGATCAGGCTGTTCAGAGCCCCATCCAGCCTGACCTTGAACACTCCTAGGGATGGGACATCTGCAACCTCTCTGGACAACCTGTGCCAAGGTGAAGACTTGTCCTTGAATAAATAAGTTTCAGAGCAAGAAGCTCAGCTTAGAACTTGGGAGGAATTCTTGAATCCCAAGGGCTGCTTTAAGTTGGTATTATTGGACTATTTCAGGTTTAAACAGATGAAATTGGAACAGAACTGCATAGTGATTTCTAACTAGTATTTTTCTTGGGCTCCTGACCCTGGAAGATCAATGACCAGGAGAAACTAAATAGATTTGTTTGTTTGTGGTTTGTTTTTTTTAATCAAGAGAGCATTAAGCTTAGAGAGTGAATAAATTCAACTAAACTTTCATCCTATCTCAATAATTTTTCCTTCAACTTGTTTGGACTGCAACATCATCCTTCAGTAATTCTCTCCTTCCTATCCCCATGTTTCATAACATACATTATTAGTGGATGTTGAATTTTTTTCTATGCTCTCTCTTTCTCCCTGTTGGTGTACTACCAAAAACAATCTCGAGTAATGTCCTTTTTTATGCTCCTATTACTCTTCTACTTAAGTGTTTCAATACCATAAAGGTTTAAATGATGAGTACAGTTGGGGACAGACTGACTAAATTGGTTGCATATTTGTTAAATAAATAATTTATAAATTGTTTAAAAACAAAAAATATAAAAATATATAACAAAATATATAACAGATTGCCAAATTTGTTAAAGAAACAAAATGCAACCTGACTATCCTATAATTCAAATGAAGCAATTCACATTTTTTCTCACAATACTAACCAGCAAATTTATCATGTTTCCACACTGAAAGCAGTAGTTGCAGCTGATCATTAAGAGACTCACAGAGGTATGAATGTCATCTTAAAAAAAATATAAAGTCTTTCCAATTTTTTTCTCTTTATAGCCCTCTCTTTAGCTCACAGATAGTTAAACCATGTTTCTTTGTTGCTAAAAACCCTTAAGAATAGCTCAAATACAGCTTCCTTGATGGAGTCTCATGATCAACAGCTGTATGGTTTTGATCTCTAAAAAAAACCCCACCTGGTAACTGGAAAAAAACCTGGGCAATCTGTAAATCTGTCTACGATTGGACTGAAGTTAATACAATTATGCTGAAAGACTGCCTCAGTCCTCATCACGAGGCCACCTCGTAACACAGCTATATCTTTAGGCTTTGGGAGATGGTAGAACACCCACTGAGGGAGCCATCTCCTTGTCACCTGTGGTTCTACATACAACGTTTTGTGGTTTCAACCAACTGAAACTTGCTCATGGGGTGACTGGGGTTTGTTATCATCTTCTGGATGTCACATACAGCTTTTTTCAATCTCTGACATTATTTAAAAGGAGAGAAATCCTGCCCATTTTCTGCTTATGTTTTAAAGGCTCAATGCTACTGATTTTTTGCAGGCCTGCTGGAGTGGGAAAGGGAACAATGAGTCATGTCAGCCCTGTGGAGAAGCAATGTCACTTGATCATCTGCAAGACTGAGCTGTGGACTGGGATCTTTTTGTTTGCATTTGTGTGGTACTCTAATCTCTGTGCTGGACTTCATCTACACTTTGCCTGCAACAACTATAAAGCGTCCTTCATTCAGAAAATGCCAACTGCACAGAAGTACATCCCTGTCAGAGCATAAAAAATAGTCTGGGCCAACTATCACTGCTTTCAGTCACGTGATTAAAGTTACTTCAGAGAAAGAAAAACAGCATGACATACTGAAAGAACACTCCAACCAAACCCAAACCCTACAACTTCCTTCCTGTCCCCCCAATACATCTACCCTTAACACTGCTCTCTTTTTTTGTCCTGGTTTAACGTAACAGGTTCCTTACCCATGGTACAGATAGAAACAAATAAACAAGTGCTTATTTGAGTCTGCTCTTTTTTTTTTGACTGAACTGCAGCACAGTGTTGTGCCTCCAGCTAAACAGAAAACATATCCGCAATCAAGTAACAGATGCAATCCAAAGTGTCTGAGAGTTTTCCTTCTGAATTCCAGCAAGCAAAGTTGCCTATGTTCTAGAAGCTCTGCTTAAGAGACAAAGGTCAAATTCTAAATCAGGTATGTGGGATCCGTAGCCAAATGTAATTTTGACTTGAGATTTCATTTGCAAGATTATGTTTAAAATGTTAGTGATTCCAATAATCATTTCATGCTTTTGTTGCAGCACCAGGCAGCACAGTAACTGCCCATGTTACTGTGAAAGGTAACTTTTCTCCCTGATAATAAAAATTCTGCACTGAAATCAAAGGGTTAGAACCATGACACAGTTTGTTTGAAGGGTATTTTTCATAAAACACACACCCCCCACACATACACATTTGTATTTTATAAATACTTAAACTCTCAGAAAGGAACACACAGCAGAATTCAATTGTTTTCATGGTTTACTGATGAAAAATCATTTAACAATTTGAATGGGTTTATGATACTTATGTTTTCTTGTTCCAACTAATGTGCCTCAATGTCCCCAAGAAAGCAATAATTTTAGATTGTCTATTAATAATGTCTATTGGGCAAAGACAGTGGGAAAACAACTTGGAGCTAAAATTAAGCACAGATATATTTCATTCAACTAGTCCTAAAGAAGAAAGTCTTAGATTCCACTTAAATCTAAAAGGGAACAACCCTGTAAGTACAGAAAAATGCATCATATAGAAGTCATAACTGCTGCATTAGTCATTTAGACAGCTGCTTACTAATATTAAACTTTAAAAGCAACATGAAAAAACTCAGTAACAGCATGTTGGCTAAGCCTGTACAGTAGACACCAGAAAGCACAAAAGGTGTTTTCAAAAAAAATCCTGGAACAGTACTTGGAGCAGTAGACAAAGTTTAAAGGAACACTCTGAAATAGTGAAAAATCAGCTTTGAAAAGATCAGTTTAAAACGAATCTTTTTATGAGTAATAAAGTATTTATCTTCCAAAGTACAGTACTACTGAGTAGTAGGACACCAGTAAAGCCAGTTATATTTACTACTCAAATCAGTTTGCTCTTTCAAACACTGAATTTCTAGAATTCACAAAATTTTTAGAAAAGATACTAAGAAAAGCAAAAAAGAGAAGCTCAATCAAAAATTCAAGGGGATGCAGGCTGAGTTCAAGTATTACATGCGGTTACAAAACAATTGTAAATATGAGCAGTTATTAACTGATAAGTTAAGGCTGAAATACTTTCTTTACAGCTTCTTTTCTTCTCTGCCTTTTGCTTGTAGTCATACCCCTTTGATGACACAAACATCAAGCAGACAGATACAGTTTATTCTCATGTGTGTACATGCTCTCGTATTTGAAAACAGCCGTAAAATCAGTCCACAGTTTCTCTCAGAGAGCTAACAGACTGTACTAGCTCTAAGTCTCCATTGCTATGAAAAAATTATTCCAGGATCCAAAAGTACTAGCTGTAAAACAAAGTATCCTCTTATCACTGTCAACTGTTTTCCAACTGAGCAGAAAACAGTAATTTCTAGCTATAGTACTGATTTCTACATATCAATATTTCAGTTAGTTTCCCAGCAAGCCAAGACTTCAGAAAGAACAGTATCAATCAAAAGTAAACAAAAATAGCTGCCTGCCTTGTGATATCACAGTTACAGTCTGGGAGGTCTGAATCCACACTGTTGTCCTCCGCCATCCTCACAGCATGCAAGTCTTCCACCACAACCATGAAATTTTCCAGTATTAAAAATAAGAACTTCCACTCCCAAAGCCTGCAAATGCTGCTCTTTTGGAGGGGGAAGGAAAGGCAGCACACTTTGCTTGGGAATACTGTACAGAAAATGTTTCACGCCAAACAAATGTTACCAGCCGTTGCTTGATAACATGACACTGGATGGTGACAAGTGGTCATGTTTCTAAATAAAACCTGCATTCATCAACGTGCCAGATTTGATCTCCAGGAATGTGGACTGGGACTGGTAGGGGAAAGGATGAAAACACATATAAAACCTTCTTTGCAAAGCCTGAGCAGTTGCAGCAATAGCACTGTTTCCTGGCTGTAAACAATGGCAACTGTTTCACGAGGCTGGCATATAAGAAAAACTAATCTGAAAGGGTTACAAGGTTCCAGAAGGGAAAAAATGGCAGTCTCTGATGCAGAGAAAATTCTGCATCTCTTCTGTACTTAGAGACCTCCTCTGAACAGAGGGGCAACTAAGAGTAGCAGGTAAGGGAACAGAATGTGACAAAGAAAGAGGCTTTTACAGGTGACTGGAGAAGTTTGACCACACAGTATAAAACTGACAGGTAAAGATTCAGATTGGACATATATTACCATAATATATTACTGAAGTATTTTCATATGCAGCACTTTCTATTAGTTCACAGCTGTAGGAAACAAACCACTAAGAAAAATGCTCCAGGCAAGGAATTACTGCAGCATTGCAGAAAAGTCTGCAGGCTCTAATAATTTATTAATACTGTCAGGTATCCAGAACATGAAAAGATGTATTTTATTCTCAATACCAGGACAACTAATCTGCCTTTACTATCTGAATGAAGCCAAAATTATGTTATATGATAGACTCCACATTCCAAAATATCCTAACAGAAACACATGCCAATTTATAACAACATACTCTTAAGGGCCTCTGGAGTCTTCTAAAAAATTATCTTGGGAGATGTCAACCCTTCTGTCCAGGGGTAATTCAAAATCAATACAAGCATTTTGTCCATACATTAATCAACTGCTTGGGTTTTAATGAGCCTAAGATAGAGCTGAACTCCAAAATTTTCATAGCCCAGCATCAAACCTTTCCACAATTTATTTCCATACATCAGCAAATTTGCAGAGTTTTATTTCACTTCAGTGAGCACTGGAATGTAAAGAGTTACATGTTTAATTGCATACAATAATGTTGAGCATGCCACTTGGGAAGGGTAAGTTGAAATGATCTGGAAATAAAAGTAAATAATATTTTACATACATTAGTTTAGAATTAGGACTTCATGACACGTCATGATAACAGAATGAGAGGGTTTAAGTGTATAATATTGCACCTTATGTCTCCCTACCCAAGAATGATACAAAATCCTAAACCCTCACCTCTCCCTATAGTGGGGACTAATCTGTAATACTGAAAAGACAGAAAATTAAAAAATGTGTTTTAGAGTTTCTGAATGTAATCCCTTTTTGCTAGAAACTTCCTGAAGGTATTATTTGAGCATTTTGCTGAGTGAACATTCCAAAAGAATAACATTAAAATATATCAAATATACTGTATAAGTTCAACAACTGGTGACCTATCACATCCTCTGAAACCAAGCAGGCTCCTCGATGGTAATGCAACAGTTCCTGACTTAATTGTTCTGTAAGAAACATATGATGTTCATTGCTTTAAAATAAATTACTATTAAAGGAGCTGGAGCCCCTGGAATGCTTCTGCTTACATAAAATTTACTGCCCCCATGTTAACAGATTTCAGAGCAAGAATGCAGTATGAAAAAAGAAAAGCCAAAAAAGATCGTGAAAGTAAACGTTTTTGCTGCTAACAGGATTATTACTAACGCGTATGTCCTTACATAAGAAAAAAATGTGAATTATAAAGTATATGAGCTATATATGCAAAATTGTGAGAAAATTATTGTTGGTAATAGAAGGAAGGCACAGCTAAACAGAAAGCTTGAAACATATTGAAATAAATAAATTATTTTCTTTACATATCAAACAACTATCCTGTATTTTTTTAAGTTCTGAAATTGCTGTTATACTTTTGACCTTGAATAAAAAGTTTTTAAGCCTGGTGTGCATACATAACCTGCAGTTACTCTTCTCCATCTGTTAAAAAAATGATCTGACAGAAAGCTTTACACTTAGTTTTGGACCTGCTCTTCTTGAAACCCAAAACTACAAAGGCATTGATTATGTTCCTCTGTCAAGAAATTTTTAGAAAAATCACATTTGGATCCAGTTTTAAGCACAATGTAAAGTAATATGTTACTAGAGCAAGGCTCACTAAATTTGATTGCAATTGATCCTATACTGTAAAAACACAGAACTGTTAAGTTTGGAAAAGAGCTTTAAGATCAAGTCCAACTGTTAACCTACCACCATCACCTATTATTATAATGAAGCTTTTAAATGCTTCATTTGAGGAAACGTCCTGTACCATAAAGTAAAACTTTCCCAAAAAAGGAAGTGAATTTCACAGAAATGTGTTGATGGTAAAGAATAAACTTATTTCAGAATTTATGATGAAAAGGCAGACAATAAAGGATTTTAAATGTATGACGTCCAGCATATTAATCCATCCCACTTAAAATTTAGAAACAAAACAAATGTCTTACCTGGCTGCAATAAGATCTAGAAGATGCTGCCACCTGTCATTGATCTTGCCAAGTTTGTACTCAATCTCTGATGCCTTACTCTCATGGCTGGCTTTAGCAAGTCTCTCTCCCATTTGCTGAAGCTGGATTTTGTTCTTCTGGGCGACAGCAATTTCCTCTTGATAATCCTAGACAGTAAAGAGCAGTCATAAGACAGGGTACTTATTCTAAATATTCTTTACACTACTAAAGGAATGGTGCAAAAATACAAGTGAATGTTGTTTTTTTTATTTGATTGGTACAGTGAAGTGACAACCTCTTATATATTTGATGATAAACAAAACCAACTACCAAAAGAACAAAAAAAAAAACCTACCCCAAACAACCCAAACTACAATGACTTCTATAAATATGCTATAATTTAACTTATTACAGGCAATTCTGACTGGACACTTAATACAGCATTCAGATGACTCTTTGCATTCACTTAATTTTCTGGTATTCTGGGAAGTCCTGTCTCAAGAAAGACAGGAAAATGCTGCATAGCGAGAGAACACAAACACCAGAACATATCAGGGTAAGGTAAAACCTTAATTTCAGCAAATTCACAAACAAGTAAACAGTTAAAGAAGAGCATGCAAGTTGTAGACTATACCTTTTTAAGCTTCTCAATCATTTCTTCTATGAGGATGTCACCATTTTGAGACACTTTACTTTCCATTTGCGTCAGCCATTCACAGAGCTCCTTGTTCTTCTCACTGAAGACAGCCCACTCATTCAGTCTCTCACTCACTTGTTGTTGACGCAAGGAGACCTTAAACCATTGGCAAAGAGTAAATGAAACTAAAATAGTAAATGCATTTAAGACACGCTTAAAACACTTGGTGCTTCCATGTCAATTCCTCTAGCCTTGAAGAAGTGTTTCAGCCACTTACTTGCCGTTGAAAAAAACTAGTACAGCATAAATTTGTGTGACTGCCTGTAAGTTCAGGGGTAAGCGCTGATCTCAGATTTCCTGTTAGCTACATCCTATGCACTGAGACAGGCACCCAAGCGTTGAGCTCAGTAGTCTGTCAGTGTCTTATTTCATAATGCCTCTAACCCAAAGTTTTCATTAGAAGATAAAAATTGTATTTGCTTACAGTTCTTGCTCACTTATAAAATTTTATAAAATATATTAGTTTCTTTTTAGTCTAAGAGATTAAATTAAAAAGAAAAATCCTTCACCAAAGCTTAAAAAAAATAGATATAAAGGTAGTACAGGCCAAAGTCCAAAAGTCTGTGCCATTTGTGCACAAGCGCATGAATACAAAGCTAAATCCAAAATACAATGTATTTTACAAAAGTAATTTTTTACTTCATTTTCAATACACTAACTTCATAGGTGACTATTTCCTGTGTATAAACATGACACCTTGAGAGATTCCAAAGCACCGAGGTGTGCCCTGACAGGAAAGATTAGGCCTGACACACTGAACAAGCAAATGCTGCAGTTATACAGAAGGAAGAAAAACATTACTGCATTTAAGTAACAGCTGTAACGGTGGTACCATCTCAGACTGCAGTGACAGACCAAGATGGACAATGAAATCAAAATAGCAGCACATGCTAAGCAGCAAAGTCATCTCTCCTGTTTCAGACATTGGTACAACTACTTACTTCCTCCCCACCGTGATCTGGGTTATTTCTGACTTTGTATCGTAAGTTCAGCTGAAAAGATGAAGCTCCTTCACAAATTAAAGTGATGTGCTTTTTGACTACTGTGTTAGCTTGAACAGGGACATGCACGTGATCTCACATTTCCTTTTTGTGGTTCTAAACCTGGTGACAGCTTTCCGGAAATAAGCAGCAGATGAACAAAGGGCTGCGCTAGGTTACACCCTGAAACACTCAGCATGCTCAAAACTAAAATAAAACTTTACTTGGCTCCTTCTTTTATCATAAACATACAAGCAGTGACTGAGTCATAATTTAGATGTATCTACATTTGCTCATTCAAATGAAACTAAACTCATACCAAGTTCTGTGCTGGTAACTGAAGCATTTTTCCTATTTTGGGGGTGTTTTTGAAGCCTTCACAGGTACTTTACATGAAGTAACTATTTCAAGTTAGCCCCAGCATATCTGGACTGCAATGTCTAGTGAACCACAGAAATGACATCAGAACAATCTGAAAAGCTGGGTAAGCAATACTCCACTACCTGGTGTGCAAATCAGAGGGCAGAAGCACACTAACAGTGTGATGCACCTGGTACCTCAGCTCATTTTGCAGGCAAGCAAGTCACCCTCAGACTAAAAGAAATGCAGACACTGAGATCTGAAGAAGGAGAAGCTATCAGCAGAACTGAAGGTACAGGAGGGCAATGCTGAGTGGGGAGGAGACATCCTTTCTGAGCACTGGTCTTCCACCAAAGCAAAGTGTAACTGCCTTATTTCTGTGTTTTTTCCCAGCCAGCCATGCCAAGTCCCAGCTCACAGTGTGACTTTTTCGTTGATTTTTCAAGGCTGTTTAAATATGACCTCACAGGCCATATTACATATTACATATTACAAAGTTCAACAGTCTAAAAGCACTAGCAGTAACTAAAGGAATATGTCAATGACTGTTTCCCCTAACTCAGAAAAAAATCACTTTTGAATATAGGTGCATTGACATGAACATTTTCTAAAAGCTGACACTTAGATTAAATTTCTCTCCCAACACTTTTGTAGCCTGCATACTGCTCCCATCAGTGCTCAGTGCTGTACTTGCCTGGTGGCACAGCTCCTCCCACTGCCTGTGCAGGAGCTCTATTCGCTCACTCAGGATTGAGATATCGTCTGCGCTGATATACACAGACAGAGTCTCCTTCAGCAGGGAGAGGTGTGCAAGGTCATCTGTCCAGCCTTCAACAGCATTCTCTAACTCCTTAAAAGAAGAACACAAGGAAAAAGGACCAGTTGGCTAACAAATAAAAATTTGAGTATGTTGATGGAACAGACAAGCAGTGCTACCCACTGATTTTAGTCACATTTGAGCAGACCCATCACATCAAGCAAACTGCTTCAGCCCCATCTCAAAGGAAAAGAAAACGTCAACCCCAAATGTACCAATATTTTCAGAGTTACGATGGGATTAACTGTGCACTAGAGAATGAAACATCAGCTGTGTAACAAGAAGTTGTAAACTAAGATACTACTCAACTCTCTGAAGTTCAAAGGTATCTGGGAAGTTCAAGCACTGGTCTCGACTCCTCTGCATTGAAAATATTTTCAAGTCTGCAATCCACTTCCAAAATGCAAATAATATAGCCTAAAAGTGTTGTCTAAAATCCTCCATAGTCACTTCACCTCAAACAAAAAGCACTAAACCAAAAGTTTAGATACCACAAGTTTAAATATGAGTTTAGAATTTCTGTAATAAAAACACACCAATATACAGCTCTTCTACAGAATTTTTCAGACCCTGCTCTGGTATCACTTTGATCAGACTTTTATTTACTCTGAAGGACTTGCGTTATGGTGAGATCACTCTGGTATTATGGTGACCATATGTTACATGGATAGTTTCTTGTCATGGGGATGGCTGACAGGTTTGCCTCGTCAGTAATATGAACCCAGTTAACAACAGAAGAGGTTACTGCACAAAGGCAGGCAAAGATGAGACAACAATCAACGGAGAAGTGCTTTACCTTGCAACGAATCTGCTCTGCATGCAACTCATCATGGTGATCTGGCAAAGGCTGAGAAAGCTTTTTTTTGAATGATCTTAGCTTCTCCAGGGAGTCTCCTATGCCCTTTTCACATTTTTCCCAGTCCTGAAAGCAGAATGTTTATTAGACTTCAGTTCTGATCTGTGTTATACTTATGTCGGTTAATCTGCCTAAAAATAACATGCCCTGAAAACTCTTTCTAAATAATACTAAAAGTCTCAGAGTCCTGAGTCATGTGTAGAAATGTGTGGAATTTTTTATGTGTAGGTCTCTGTTAGCAGAAATGCACAAGGTCTTCTGCTATTAAAATGCTGTCTAGATCCAACTCCAGCCTTTCAGCAGTCTCTCCCTGACAAAATTAATTTTCCACTTCCTTTCTTGAATGCCTGTATTAAACACACCATTATTCTTTGACAAGAGCTTCATTCAGGTGCATTAATCTCTGTGAAAAAAAAATAAAAATATAAGTGGTTGGGGAAACTGCAAATTCAGGGCAGACTGAAGTACCAGTAGTATCTTCTTTAAATCAGGATTCTAGTAGCCGTAGCCTTTAGCTTTAGTGTTTGTATACTTTCCAAAATTTTTAATGTGTTCAGTGCAAACAAACCCTACTAAGTAACAGCATGGTTCTATCCCCCTCACCTGTTTGTTGAAGCCTCATATTAAGACAAAGAGATCTCTAATAAGCCAGTCAGCCCAAAAAGAATGCCTGTTGTGTGATACCAGAAAACACAGAACCTGTGTTGAAATTTTCACTGTACTGAAACTAAGTCTTCTGTTTCAAAATACTCTCCTTCTATCACTGCCTTTGTATTTCTCTCCTTCCTTTTTTTCCCAGTATTTCATGATCATCTTGATGAAGAATTAGACATACCAAATAATATGACCTTGTGTGACAATAGACTGTGATGTCCTTAGCGCTCTTCCCCTGCTCCAGCATGGGGTCCCTCCCATGGGAGAGAATCCTCCACGAACTTTTCCATGCACTCTTCCTACGGGCTGCAATTCTTCACAAACTGCTCTGGAGAGAGTCTCTTCCATGATTTGTTCTAGACTCTCAGGAACAGACTCCAATGAGGTAAAATGGCCTTAGTCTGGGCTTTCCATGGGGGCACAGATTCCTCTGGGCATCCATCTGCTCTTGTGTGGGTCCTCTATGGGCTGCAGATGGATCTCTGCTTCCCTACAGACCTCCACGGACTGCAGGTAGATCTCTGCTTCCCTATGGGCCTCCATGGACTGCATGTGGATCTCTGCTCCACTGTAGAGCTCCATGTCTCTGCCATGAGCTGCAGGGTAATCTCTGCTCTGGCTCCTGGAGCACCTCCTTCCCCTCCTTCACTGACCACCTGTGTGTCTGCAAAGTTGCTGCTGTCACATTGTCTCACTCCTCTCTCTAGATGCAATTGTTCCTGTACAGTAATTTTATTTCTTTTTCATCTTCTTAACTGTGTTATCCTAGAGACACTACTGCCATCACTGCTGGGCTCAGCGTTGGCCAGAAGTGGGTCCATCATGGACCCAGCTGGCACTGGCTCCATCAGACACTGGGGAAGCTTCTGGCAGCTTCTCACAGAAGTCATCCCTGCAGCTTCCACCTACAAGAACTTTGCCACTCAAACCCAATACAAATACATGTAAAAACTGAACAAAATTTGTGCAAAATAAAATGAATTTTTGCTCTGTTTTGAAAATAGAAGTGGTATGGCTATACTTTATTTGCAGTATTCTAGAAATACCAATTACAATATCTACAAAATACAACTGACATGCAAGCTATGAAGTACTGTTATGAAGTATTACCACATCCACTTTCAGAGGTGGTGAAGGGAAATTGTTAGTTCATGTACTATAAATGCAGTTCCTGTATTTGTGTTTGTCCATTGAGAAAGGTTTCCTGCACCAGGGCTCACAGAGAGAAACCACAAACTTGCTGAAGAAGTACAGAAGAAATTGCACACTTACTTTCAGCAGCAAAGCCAGCTGTTTCTTTTGTTGCTCCAGTTGAGTGCTAACTGTCTTCCAGCGCTCCTGGATTTCAGTAAGCTCAGCCTGCAGGGCTGCCTCAGCTCCACTGTCAGCAGAGAGCAGCAGCTGCTTCCCAGCCTCCACAGTGAGGATGTAACTCCCTTGCTGCCTGAAGAGAACTTTCTCTTTAAGCTGAAAATATTAATAGTTTTCTGTCAGCTTTGTCCTTTTATTTACAATTAGCACTTAATTAAAATTCAATAATTCACTCTCAAGCCCATACTTTAACTGGTTGCATAGCCTGTCTTACGCATGAGCTATGGTCCAAATACTTTATCCTAATATTTTCACAATCATTTACTGCAGCAGACCTTCAGAAAATTTCTCCAAAGAGAGGAACACATGAAAGACTTTTTTCTCCCCCTTAGTGTCAGTATCTCAAATGCTCTTGAAGAGTTCCTCAAGAGCCTGTTATGCTTATAAAGGTTATTATTATTATTATTATTATTATTATTATTATTATATCCATCTTCCACCTAAAAAGGTTTAAGACACCAAGCTGCTTACTAGATAGTGTTAGCCTCTCATGAAGATGAACACACAAGGAATACTTGTTATCTACTATATGTCCCTCAAGCAGGTCATCACTATCTTTTCAGGACCATTTCAGCATGACACTAGCTGAAAACAAAAACAGAAGCGAACGCAGCTTGAGAGCGAGGGCCCAGTAAGTTCTTTCTTTCATGTTCTTTATGAACTCCACATTGCTTCCATCACACTTCTGATGTTACACCAGTTTCAAAAAAGAACTGGCAGAGCAGATATCAATCTAAGACAATTTAAAGAGTGTTTTAAATGGTGAAGACAGTAAAAAAGGCAGGGATTTTTTCCTTTTTGTTCAAACACGCCAGACATACCTGCACTTCATCCAGCAGCACTCTTGCTTGCTGCAATGGGATAGGAACAGTGCCCAGCTCGGTCACTGGCTGACAGGACATCTCCAGCAGCCACTTGCGCAGCTTCTCTGCCATCTCCCTGTAGCGCTGCCACTGGTGGATCCGGCTGTCAATGATCCCCCTCATCTGCTGTGCCCTGCGAATTACTCCTTGCCACTGATTACTCAGAAGAGTCAGATTCAGATTAAATTCATCCCTATTACAAATAGATAAATAATAAAAATATGTATAGTAACCTTCTTACTTTCATGTATTTGCTTAATGAAATAAATTGAAGTGAAAAGGAATGTGTCTGTCAGCCAATTACAAAACAGTAAGAAAAAAAGCACTGAAGTCTCATGAAGGCTGACTGAGGATAAGAACTTCACACTTTACATACTGGGAGATTTAAAGGGTTCCCATTTTGAGACCTTAAAAACCCCAAGCCCTTAATGCACAAAACTCTTCTACCTTCTTCCCAGAAATACAGGAAGAAAACCCCCAGGTTTTGCTAGTTTGGATTAGTCAAATTCATAGTAAATCATGGAGATTACACAATTCACCCCCAGATTTACTACTGAGTTCAAAGCAGACGTAAGATACACACACCATTAATAAAATTCTCACATTCCAATGAACAGTTCATCTTAGTACTATGATAACCTTGGGAAAGTCAGTGCATAAGCACAGGCAAAGCCACTGGTGATCCACTGATTTCCATTCATTTGATCACAAGTGTTTAAAATAAAATCCCAGGCAACAATGAATTCCTATTCATTCCATTCATTTGATCACAAGCGTTTAAAATAAAATCCCAGGCAACAATGAATTCCTATTCCATCACATTAAGGCTGCAGGTGCTCTTAAATGGCAGTAGGGAATCCTCCTGGCAGAGGCAAATCCCCAGGTGGCATAAATCAAATGCAGTGACACTAAATGTGTCACTGCAGGCTCCTCTGGGGTAAGTGACATGTCGAAAATACATCAGAATAGATATATATGTAACACGCTTGATATTCCAAGACAAATCTTTGCCAGAGAAGCAGCCTCGGAAGGTTGTTGTATTCCCACATGCATTCACATGCCCCTCAGCATTCTAAAGAACAATGTCTTAAGACCTGGCTCATTAACAGCTTAACCACAATAACAGTAACTTCCACTTCAGAAGAGCATGATCTGAACACTGCCACCTGCTACCTTCTCTGTTTGGAAGTCTCCTGCTAGTCTAAGCACAACTTCACATAACCGGCAGCAGCAACAATACAGCAATGTCTACCTGTCATCCACCTGTCCTTGTTCTAGGAGGTGCTGGCCATCAGAGATAATTGAATGCAAAATCTGCTGGCGGCTGAACATCTCTGCCTGGAATAGCTGTTGTACAGGAGACAAGGATGTTACAACAAGATCTTACATATTAATTCTGTCTGTATGCACTGATAAAAATGAATTTTCATGTATTTAATCTTATTTAATCTTAATTCAATAGGAATTTTGTCATAGCCTTAATAGAAACATGTTGCAAACTCTCATTTTAGAGGTACTTGCTGCTTCTAGTAATTATTAGTTCTTCAAGGCCAATATTATAAAGCTAAATTTTATCAACAGGAACTATGTTTTATATTTCTGAGTAGAGTTATGTGATCAACATTATAATTTACAGCAAAATCCAGATAAGAGTATATTTTGCTTGGACAGAAAGGGTACTTTTTATTTTCTGACATGTTTAAGAATTTCATAATCTTTTGTTTTGTTACACAGACCATGTGTGATAGCGTTATATAAACTTTCAATACATTTTTACATTGTCAATAGAGCTTTAAAAGAAATAGACAGCTATGTATAGGAGCTAGAAAGTAATTTTCCAGTTCTTCCAAGTTTTCATATTTATTTTCCAATTTCCCCCACAAATAATAATGGCATAATAAACTTCCACAATACTTTTTAAACACTCTTATTACTTAAATGTTACTTAAGACAAAAAATTATCTAATTATTACTTAAGTAAACATAACTCAAGTGTATAAACTACTTAAATTTATTTTTAAAAACATCTTTTCTTTTAGTAATGGACCATGTCTCTACATAAGGTTCTTCAGAAATATTTCCACATTAATGAAGGTACATTCAGGCATCACTGGACCCACTCTATGTTCAAAAGGTTTACAGAGAGATTCAAAGAAAAAGTATACTGGTATGAAGCTTGAGATATTTTTTCTTTATGTAGTGATGGTACTTGCAGTTGACAGAAGTTCACCATTGCCTGAACTGAGAGCTACTATTCTCCACTCCATTATATGGCAGCCCACCAGCTCAAATTGTGATTGTACCAATCCCTGCATCTGCACCTCCACATTTAAATCCCTCAAGCACACTGCATGTAGGTTAAGTCAACTAGATGATGCAGTAATTTTTCAAAATGGGATTTTGCCTCTCTGAATGACTGAGTTAATTCTGAAGTGCTACTCAGGTCATATATTTTCTCATGGAAAGAAATAGTATTGTCTGAGTTCTTTACAGAAATATTTGATACTGTTCTTTGAATACCTTGGCACTTATCATTGACTGAGTATAAATAAGAGGGAAACTAAATGCTATTATTATCTCATGAATGAAGCCACAATAGTGGGGAACTGAGAATTTCAGAAAGCTGAGCAAAAAGGCAAAAATTTTACTTTCTGTCACATCTATTTTTGTCAAGTTAGGGGATATGAAGCACTGGAGGTAGCAGCATCTATCAGCATCGTTGACAGATCGAGACTACACAGAACACAACTGGCTGCAACTGGTTAAACGAGCTGCCTGCCCAAAAACCCCAACCTTTCCCACCCTACCCCCTCCACCCCCCCAAATACGAAAGGAAATCTAAGAATCAGCAAAACTAATTCCTTCAAAAGGGAAAATGTTAATTTTTGTAATTTTTATAATTGTAACTTTTTTAGGAGGACAGGTGAAATAAAAGTTTATCAAGCATGATGAACTCTGCTTAGAGTGGATGTACTCAAGCTCTACACAAAAGCAGAGATATTTCAGTCACCACCCACTTCCTTTCCATATTTACACTCTCTGCATAAGAGGGATACTCCATTGCCTAGGAGTATCCTTGTCACCCAAATTTATTCTCACACGTAGACCACCATGAATCACAGAAGCAGGAGTTCAAACAAGAAGGAAAGGAGGGCAAGTGTTGAAATGCACAACACCAGCACACTGGGAAGAAATCTGGTAATTGAGCTGGCAAGCAACTTCCTTCCCTTTCCCCTGCCAGCACTTTCTCAAGTGCTTGTCTCAGTGCATTCCCACTGCATGGGTGTCCCAAGCACTGCCCCATGTACTGGAGAACCGTGCAGGAGTGATTACAAGATTGTCCTGGCAGTCTGATGCAGATGTCACTGTTAGCACATGGTGTCTGAAAAAGCTATCACCTCCACATTGTAAACTCCACCAGGAAGATATTTCTAAATAAGGCCACTGAGGTGGCTGGGGTCTTCTTTGGGTAAAAACCAGCAAAAGTTACAAGTCACTGGAAAGGCAATAATAGAGCTGGAAGCATTTCAATATCTATTCTAGGAATTCAGGTGGAAACAGACTATTTTCTCATTATATTCAAAACTGCAAAGCAAAACAATAAGAAAATGCATCTCAAGAAGTAGAGATTTGACCCTTTCAGCCACAAGGAGTGGAAAGAAAATTCTTAATGACTATCAGGAAGCACTGAAAAGGACATTGTAATGAATTAATTTTGATTGCAAAAAATGCCAAAAATGTTAAAAAAAAAATAAAAGCAGGTTACTTTTTAAAGGATGAACCGCAGTATTTAAAAAACAGATATTAATCATCTTAATTCTGAACTGACTTTACAGTTGCAAAAAAAGGTCTTAAATAGAGTGCCCAAGTAATGTTCATCTGCACAGATCAAAATTTAAGGAATTAAGCTGAGCTCTCAAGACAAACAAATGCAAGAAGATTGCCCTAACTCCCTTCAAAGAATTCTAGCTATGACTAGATGCAACAACACTAGGAAATTATCCACTTAGTAATGATTTCTGAACATTCAAATCTCAAAGACCTGAGATGTTTTAACTTACACAGTCTGTCCAGTTAATGCTGACAGCGATGAAAGGCAATCAAATGGATGACATTTGTGAAAGCAAAGGCAGTTAGATGCTAGGGCAAATGTATGCTAAAAATGGTTGTGAATTACTTTTTGCTATCATACATGCATTCAAACATGATGCTGTGAGATAAAAGGCAGGAGAGGGGGAAGGACATAACTCTTCCTGTAATCCATCCTGAGTCTAGGGGAAGGTCAACTGAAAAAGTTGTGGGAACTGAAACTACTGGGGCCACATGGGAGCTCTGGTATGAAAATGGACTTCTTTTACTTGATCTTTACCAGGATTCTTGGCAGTAACAATATGGGTGGAGAAAAAATGTGCACCACTTGACTTCACAGAAGAATCATAATCTCTGAATCTAGTACTAGTAAAAACTCTGAATCAGTTTTTCCTTGCAGCAAAAGCTGTCCTAGCTCCTGATTTGTTACAAACAAATGACTAGCACACAGCAAAGACCAAATGAGCTTGTTCTCCAAGGAAATATTATCCAATGGAGGCCCCATGGTGATTTATATAACTCAGTACTTGACAAAAAACTCTTCAACATGCTTTTCAAATGCATACATTGATAATTTAGTAAAAAATAAACAAAATCAGAAAAAATATTTTTTCCAGTTAATGAGTGTAGGCAAAGAACCAAACAGCATGAGAATCATTAGGCTTTTAAAGGAGCTTTGGTTTCCTTGGTACAAATGAATCTGAAGTAGACTAAACATAGAGAACACACACTCATAGGCATAGTGATACATCATACACAGACACTCAAGTCCTCCTCCACGCTGGTTATTATTGACATGGTTGCATGCTCCTGTTTTTAAGTTTTCCTCATATGTTGCAGACAAATACAATTCAAGGCATGCTATTGTATCATTCAAAAAAAAAAGAATGTGCATTCCTTCTATGTATAAATAGTACGTGTTTCAGCGATGTATAAATATACATGATTACTTGCCTCATGTTCCCTCTGTTGCTCCAAAAGCCTTTGGTAGTTTCCTGAAACCTCTACTGCCAACTTCTGCTCAGTCTGAACTAACAAATCCATCCAAGTCCCACATTTCTCCAAGAACGTCTGCTGCTGCAGCAGGAAAGACTGCAACTTGCTGAAAGAAAAAAGAGAGAGATGGATTCAGGCAATTCCAAATCAGATGATAATACCTGTCTCACTTACCTGCCTCATTGAATGTATTTAGTCAATACTTAGAAAAGTAGCAGTCCTACTGGTTTCAAATCCTGTTAATTTGTGGCAAAACAAGCATCTCAGCATAATGGCTGTGCTCTTTACTTTTAAGTACACCTGAAAAAAGGCACTTTGGTCAACAAAATACCTGAAACATTTCTATACTCTGCAAAAGGTATAATTTGTAATTTGTAGAAAAATGTAGAACAATCTCTATCCCTACCTGAATCTCTCTGTAGTCTGAGGTGAGATCAGAGACCAATGTCTGTTCAGGTTCTGCATCCTTTTGATTTCCTTGTCATTCAGAGGAAGCCTGTAACCCAGCTCATTAAGACGGTCCAAATCAGGGGCCATGCTGCTGAATTTCAGCATTTGACTCTGGAACAAACAATAAAAGTGATTACTGGGAAGTTCAGGAATTCCATTATTATTGACATGAAAATTATCAACTTAGTTAAATTAAGAATGGCCTTGGCTGCCACCAAGTGGTAAGCAATCTCTATAACAGGGAAAAAAACTGCATTTCCAGTTTTCATCTTCTGGTCCCAGAGCAGGAGAAGACTTGTGTTCATGTTTAAAAGTGTGCAGAGAAGTATACTTAGACTGCACTAATGTGTTTTGCTGAATTGGGTATTTACAGCTCAGAGCTGAAGAAGAAGGCTGGTGTTTGAAGCTGTACGGCTATACTGTCAAAATAAGTGATCTTTTCTCCTTGTTTCTTAGCCTGAATCATAGGCTAGATGTCAAAGTTCAGCAACTTCCTGTCATGGCCTCTGAATAAAGGAGAGGGGAAAAAGAAGATCCACAAAAAGAAAAGTGTGCAAGGTGTCAAATGAAGATAACACAGTACACACTATGAATGTTCCTTCAGTATATCAAGTCACCCAAATGTGTATATTCCTACCTAAATTATATACCACTGAGACACAGGAATTGAATAAATTAAAAGGGAGAAAACATGATTAAGGAAATCTCCAAAAACTGCTACAGTTTCCATGCCCATTTTGATCTGTTATTTATTTTATTCTGAACAGTCTGACTGACCTTTTCATCTTTACTCAGGGACAACATGACAATCATTCCCTGACTGCCATCAAACTTCAAGTTCTCAGTCTTAAATTTCATGAGTGGTAGTCTTTTGCCACCTATAGAATGCACATATGGTATCTGTGCATACCCTGCCCTGGAAATAACCAGCCCAACAGAAGCAAAACCCCAGCACTTCCTTTGTTTCTTAGTCACCTTGAGTTGCTCCATTCTACTCTGTATTGCTGAGGCATCAGATGAGTGACTGGGATCCTGCTCTTTCAATGTTTCTTCTGCTTCTGTTATCCAGGTCTCAAGGACTTCCAGGTTCTTGGCAAAGGTTTGATAGTCCAGAATTCCAGCCTTGAATACAAAAGGATCCACAGTTTAGTAACTTTGGCTTCACAGCCTCCTTATTGACATTACACTCCTGTTTATTCTCATTATAGATTTATAAACAGTTGAATTGGCTAGGAGGAATTGTATCTGCTGCTTTGCTTGCAGACTGTGGAATTAGTTGGATTTTTTTTTAAGGTTAGAAGAGGATTTTTGATCATAGCAAAGGCAACACTTCAGTAAAGTACATAAATGTCTCCTTACCTTGAAATAGATAAACTTTTCTAACTTTCTTTTATGAAAGAAACTCCTCTGTTTTATTTATTGCCAGCAGAGACAACTAGTAACTGTTACTGCAATTTTAAATTAAAAACTTTTCTTGTGTTTTGTCTCCTCACAGTACAGTTATACTGTAATGACACCTGAGACACTGCTGGATTTCTTGAGTAAATCTTTTCTCTCAAAAAGAAGATGCTACCTTTGTGGCTTTTTCATCCAAATAGTTTCCTATGGAATACATTTTTCCACTCCTTTTTTGCTCTTTAGTCTCTGGTGACACAAGCAATTTGGCAACATCTACTAAACAGACTTTGACACAAATAGTAGGTGTCAGTCTGGTCACTGACATTAATAGGAACAGTAAAAAATCAATTGTACACAATATTCAAAATATCTCATTTCTTTTACTGTTGAAGAAATAGGAGGGAAGAGTGTCTTCATGGGAGCAGTAGCTGTGGATCCAGCTGTTAGCACTATTGCTGTGTGCAGAAAACATGGCCACCTTGGCATTCCAGACAAGATGTTTTCCTCCATGAGGTTTGCTATCCTTTTCCCAGAATTTGGACCCTCTTACAAGGTCTCTTTGGTGGTCTTGAGCATATTTTCTACTCTCAGCTCTGGCTTCCAGGGAAGTCCAGGAAAAGCTGATTAACAGGTATCACTACCCCCTTTTCCCAGGCAGATTTAGATAGTTTATGTGTCTTCAGAGACCACAGGATGATCTCATTTGAGGACTGTAAACGCTGTCTGTGTACCTGGAGTGCAGTCTGTTGCTTGCGGAGAGTCTGCTCTAGGGTTGTCAGACTCTGGTTCAGAGAGAGATGATCAGACTGTATGGCTGCTGCTGCTGAAGCCTCCACCTGGCTTTTTAGCTCCTCCCCCAGCTCTTGAAGAACAACCAGAGACTCCTGTGCTGTTTTCAAATCCGCCAGTACATCCTGTGGCAACAAATTGAATAAAGACACACACAGTTAACCTGACGCTCTGGTGGTGTCATCATCCACTGATTTAAAGGAAGAATGAAATGAGTGAACTCAGTCACTGTAAGGAAAACTTTTATTTACTACTGCATTTCAACATCAAACATTCCAGTTGCATTCTGTATGACTTGAAGAATAAAAAAAAGACATGTCAAAGAACCTGTACTGAAAGGAACAGAAAAAATGGAGTGCTCAACTACCTTTGAGCAAGCCTGAGTTGTTGATGAGACAGTAACTATTGAAAGAAACCATTTGAATTTACTGACATGATCGTCCTAAGCAGTGGCAGCCCTCACTGTGAATTGATTCAGGCAGGCCTCCCTTTTCTTCCTGCTATGATTCACCAGGAGGGATGAAAAAATAACTTTTGTAAATGGCCTAACATAATTGTTAAAGAATGGGACATCAGGAAATAAATTATTTGAACCAAACAATTTGAATTGCCAGTCCATGGTGCCTGACCATGGCAGCAAATGCTCCAAAAGATAGATCATGAATGAGTTTATTTTTTAACCACTACCAAGTTGGGCTTTTTATCACTGCAATTGTTTTGCTTAAACTGAGACAATTAATATTTTATTTTTTTGGTCAATGACACTTAACATTAACTTATGTTCAAATGAACCAAAATATAAGCACAGAGAGGAGATAAATTATTCTGCTGCCTTGAGATGCAACCTTGAAAAAGGAAGAATCTCAAGGTTTCAGAGTGAATGGTGTCTTTCCATAAGGAAGGATAAAGACATCTCCATCATTCTGAAAATGTGAACAGTCTTGATTGGTGGCAATATAGTCAAAGAATTTTGAGTTTCTTTCTATTATAAGGAACTCAAAAGAGCCTGGTAGAGATACTTTCCCAAGCATGAATATCTTCATTAAGCAGGAACCTAAGACTGAGTCACATGATGTAATTTATCCACCTTCTCCAGACAGAAGACTTTAGATACAAGCTTCTGAAACAACATCACAACAACTAATGGAGGGATTAAAATTTAGAGACACTCATGAGATTTGAGCTCTCTCTCCTATGTCTACGCTGCATCAGCAAAATGAAATAGGTTAGTATACAAGATTCCAAAATACCAACTACAGAGTTTAGCAACAGAGAGCCTCTTGAGATTTTATTTAGCCCACAGAGCTGAGAAAAGCTGCAAAGCTTAACTGAACATACATTGCAGTCCCGAATCCAAGTAGTAACTTCATCATCAGCGATGTCTTTGCTGGTTGCAGTCTTCAGGAGTTCATTGGTCTGGTCTTCTCGTTGGTGGACTGTGGAAGAGCACTGCTGGTAGCAGTCCTTGTACCTCTGCCACAGCTGGAGCAGGGCCCTGCTGGCACGCAGCCGCTCTGCAATCTCCTGCAGGAGGTTGTTCCACCTGGGGAAGAGACTGCATAAGCAACCAAAGCCTGGGAGTCCACAACAACTATCCATGGCCCTCGTTCTCTCTGCTGTTTCCCATAGTCTCTTAACTTTTAAAAAAATTGGTAATAATCAAGATCCAGACATTTGGTGAAAATAACCAAACCAAGAAATTTCTGTTTCAATTCCAATCCAGGCTGTCCTGACCTGTCACAATTGTGTGATCTGTGCTGGATCTTGGATGCTGTTTGTTAATGCTGGTGGTCAGAGCTGAAGCACACTTTTTGAAGTGAACCTCCTGCTATTTCCACTTAGTACCCTCAGCATCACCAAGTATCCATGACCATCCATACATTGCTAATAGCAGATTCCTGTGAGGGCCAAAGATGCCCAGAACAGCTGTAAACGAGGCACCATTTCTTCTCCTGCCATTTCCTCCCAAACTGTAACACAGTATTTAAAGTCATAAAGCTCTGTGTAACTCACTTGTAAAATATTCCCAGACATATTAAAAATATTTATATTTCTATTATCTAATTAAATATCTAATCTCCCTTTGAATTCCTTCCTAGAATAATTTCCCATTGTATTTTTTGCTCTAATAGCAACCATGAACACATGCTTTCTCAAACGTGCCTAATTGTTTCCTTACTAAAAAAAATCACAATATTTCTCAATTATTATTGTATGATGAAATGCAAAGGTTTTGGAGCAAAAATTCTGCCAGCCTTCACTGAAACTATTAAATTTTATGGTATCTTTTGTGAAATGGGGTTAAATAATCTCTCCTCCTACTTTTGGTTTCTAGGACAGGACTGAATATAGATTAAAATAAATGTGATGTGATTCTGTTTTCAAAAAAATAATCCAAATTTTCTACCAAACTATGTTTTTTCTTCTGGATCTTCTCTTCCTGTGTCTGAGCAAACCCTTTCATTAGTTCTTGCCTGAAATCAAAGCTGGGGAAGCTGTTTGCCAAGGTACTGGTGAGTGGCTTAGAATTTCCTGTCTATGATACCCTTCCTACAACTAGAAATAGCAACCTAAAATTTGAGGAATCTGATGCAAACCATTGAAACACTGCAAACAAAATTTTCAGACACAGTTCTCAAATTTCAAGCACAGTATTATTTTCCAGCATGGTATTTATGAATCTTGTTTGGCAGTCAAGCGCAGAGCAAAACTACTGACATTAATGCCCAAATGCTCACTGGAGAAGGTGTTTCATTTATTATGAGCAGTAAATGAGAGTTTTACTCCAGTCCTTGGTAAAAGGAATAATCCTTCCTGTTCCAAAAAACCCCTCATAACCCCAGGAACTTAAAATAATAATATATAAGAAAAGTAGGGATAATGGAAAACTGGATAATGGATAAATACAGATTTGCAACTGAAATCGACAAAGACATTTTCTACCTCATATTCACTTCTTTCAAGGTGTTGGTAAGTGTTTCAGTCACTGGTGGGTGACATTCTTTCAACAATTCATTGGTCACAGAACCAAATTTCTGTAAGCTATTCTCTTGTTTTTCCAATTCATCTTGTAGGCTCTAGAGTAGAATAATAACAAAACAAAACCAAATCACAAGTTAACAAAATTTCAAGATGTAGAAACATTTCAAAATAGTATGCATCAACCGCATTAGATTATGAATGAAAACTTATTTTATGTGTTTCATATAAATAGGGTGTTTAATATAAAGATTAATTTGATTTTATATCAAATAGAGCAAAAAGTAAATTTTAATCTTGTATTTTTGCAAAATGTAAAAATCTTGTAGAAGAAATTATTTTAAACAAGTACTTTCATACAGAATGAGTAAGCACATGGACTGATTCAGATTTGAAAACATTAAGAGATGGATGAAAACTAACTAAACAACATTTTCCTGTTTAGAACAAGATGAAAAAGTAACAACATTAAGAAATCTATATTCTGACAAAAGGGTCTCGCTCCTTCAGTTACCATCCTTATGTATGTCTGTCAGGGAAGTGCGTTTTGTCCAGCAGAGGGAAGTGAGGCTGATGAGGGACTGGAACATCTCTCTCACGAGAAAAGGCTGAGGGAGCTGGGCCTGTTCAGACTCAGGAAGAGACAACTGAGAGGGGATCTCATTATCATATATAAATATCTTATGGGGGAGTGCCAAGAGGATGCTTCCAGGCTCTTCTTGGTGGTGCCCAGCAGTGGGACAAGAGGCAGCGGACAGAAACTGATGCACGGGAAGTTCCAGCTGAACATGAGGAAGGACTTATTTACTGTGTGGGTGACAGAGCACTGGAACAGGTTGTCCAGAGAGGGTGTGGAGTGTCCTTCACTGGAGATATGCAAGAACCATCTGGACACAATCCTGTGCCATCTGTTCTGGGATGATGCTGTTTGAGCAGGGAGGTCAGACCAGATGACCCACTGTGGTCTCTTCCAGCCTGACCCATTCTGTGATTCTGTGAAAATGCTCTTTTTTCTTTTTTTTAAACTTAAATATTTTTATGCATATTATTACAGTTTGAAAGCCTAGCAAACCTCACCCTGAGTTTAATTTCAAAATCTCAATCAGAAAAAAAGTAATTTTCTGTACCTACTGTTTTACCAACTCCTCTCTAACGTGTAAAATCCAGAAGAATGGCTGTAAAGTCCATTCTTGGATTCTCTTTAAATCCTGGTTTTGAAAGTGCTGTCCATGCTTAGTGTAAGTAATATAATACTTTGGTTTTATATATGTCTGGAATTCAAATCACAAAAATATTTAAATTATAATGTAACTTTAAATTTGCTAGTAAATAATAACAGAAGAACAGATTAAGAACAACAGAGGTTCCTCGAATTTGGGCACCCAGATATGTTTGCATAATTATTTTTCATTTCAAAGATGAAAACCATTGTTGAAATAAAAGGGGTTTTATGTAATAGAACAATAATTTTAATATTTGTATTTAATTAAATTATTTATTTCTATTATTATTAATTAATAATTTTATAAAAGGAATCTCCTTGTATTTTATGTTTTTTTTCAATGGTAAATTACTAGAACACGTGAGTTTCTCAGCTCCTGAAACATTATTTTTTTTGTTTATCAATCTACTGCAAGGTTGCTGGGGGGTCTAAAAATGTGATCTCAGCATGCACCTGTAGCTCTGAAGCCTGATGAAGTAGCATGAGAAACTTTAGTTTCAATGGCCATCAGCATCATTTAAAAACTTGTAACAATTTGATGGTATTGCTCAAATTATAAAGAATGGCATCAAAAATCTAAAAAGAAACCAACTATCCCAAATTAATTTTTCTGCAAAATAAAACATGCAGTGGCTGGTTTATAATGTGTTCTTTTAATGTCATGTGATTTTAATGCGCCAGTATGTCTTTACTTCTACTTCTTATAAGCCAAAATCTACAGTTATCTGCAACCATGCAATTTCAGAGAAAATTAACTCTTTTCACCTGAAGTTTATCAACTTGGACTTTCACAGCTTCCAGAGAACCAGTAAGAAGATAAAAACGGGACAAAGAATATCTGGCTTCTGTCAGGTAACTGTTTAGTTCTTCATAAGCCACTTTGTAAATGCTCCATTGATCAAGAACAGATTGCAACAGTATCTTCAGTTGGCTAACCTGGGAGGAAGGAGGAATAAACACAAAAGTAAATTAAAAGCATTCAAGCTATTTGAGCTACCCCATGACATTGGGATATCTTTAAATTATTTTCTTTCTTTGGATCTCACATGCTTCTTGTCCTACATGCCTTATCTTAAACCTGTTGAATAACGAAGATTTTGTACAACCATCAGCTGGGCTTACATTGGGAATAGCATAAAGTTCTTCATTTAATAAAGGTTGGATGGAATGGACTGTAAAGATGTCAAAATTCATTTTACTTTAGTCCAGAGCAGGATCAAGTGAAATTTCTTAAGACTACACACATCTCTAAGGCAGGATAATCGGCCTATGGAAATCTGCAGAGAGGCTGGCACTAACAAACTGCATTCCTCCTGGGAAGACAGACTGATGTTGATCAAAGTTTGAATGCTGAAAATTAATGCTGATCTCTTCCTTATTCTGTGAGACCTGTGGGCTTGAAAAGTTAATTCCTGAAAGGTAATTTGGTTCCTTTACACTAAATATTAGGGAGCATCTAAAAAGCTTCATTTACAATGACTAGAAGCACTGCTGAAACAAGAAATATTATACCCTTTTTATGTGGAGTGTACACACAAACTTGGAGATTGACAGCTAGAGACATGGAAAGAGGGACACAATTCAGAAGAAATCCAATAGCTGCAACTTCTAATTCCACCTCTTCTCCATGTCTTATTTCTAGAGCTATAATTTTCCCCTCACAGATTCTTTTACCATGTGATCCAAATTGGCCCAGGAATGGTTAATTTCTTGCAGTGTATTCATAACAGCAGAAGAGACTTCTTCTTTCTTGTTCTGTACCAAAGAAAGACCACTCTGTTCTACATTTTCTACTTCTTTTTCCTTTGCTCTTATTGATTCTTCTAATTCCTAAAAAAAAACCCAAAAAAAAACCTGAGTATTTTTGCTTATTTAATTGACTAAATAACACCTTGATACAGAAAAGATGCCCACAAGCTCCTTAGTTTAAAAAATAGGACACATGCTAGCATATTTTGACTTTTTATTTTCAAGACATTCACAACTCATCAGCAATTTCACTGAATATTTTTTGTTCCCTTTGAAGTCTAGTAGTTTGTTGATTTAAATAGAAGCATGTCATCTATGTAAAACTTCTGTATAATTTTCTGCTGTCTTGTAAGAGTGAAAAACTAGTTAAAAATAGCCAGTCCTAACTGGGAAACTACCTGTATTATATCATAGCATGGTGCAGGCAGATCCAAGAAAGTCCTGCAGTACTGTGACTCATAGGGAAGCTCTGGGGCTTCAGGAAGCACAAACACTGAGTCTGAGCAGAGTGGGGCAGTAGGGCTTGCAGGCTGCAGGCCAGCACACATTTGTGTTTACCTGTCAGTATGATACCAAAAGCACACTGTGAGGTGGCAGCAACCTTGTGTTACCCCTCCATTAACCATGGGATCACAGGTTATTTTGTCATTTTCTGCAAGCCTCTCCTTACTGAGAGAAACAGATCAACAGAAAAAAGAAAAGAATACAGCAGAACTCTGGTCAGCCTGAAACCCCAGGTTTTTAATAAATTCCACTCCCTATGAATCCCTAAACACAAGTGAACCATTGCCATAGGAGACTTTGCATTGTAGATATCTGGAAAAGTATTTGGAGCAAAATTCTCCCCAGTCTTGCAAACACCTGTTATTAATAGAATTTATCCCTCCAAAAATACGACACACTTTTGTCTGTATACATATTTGTGAGAGCATTTTTGTGGCAATATTTATTCTCAGTCTTTATTTTTTTCTGTATTACTTCACATTTCTTCAAACATCTAGCCATGACCTTGTTCCAGAGCAGACAGAGTAATAGATCATTTTTTATTCCAGCTGACAACACAAACACTTCTAAGTTGAACGTAATAAACCTGACTTTCCAAAAAGTGTATTTTTACACTGAAAAAAGTAATTTTATTTTATACAAGGTTGCTCCAGAATTCAGAATGTAAGAAAGGCATAAGTTTCAAACACCAAGACCAGCAAATATTTCTGATTCTCTTTGAAAAAGGCTTTTTTATTCATAATTTAAAATTCAAAATTGAATTAAAGATGCATTATTTTTTCTAACTCTGTCAGGAAAAAATGGTTGACTCCACTTATTAAAATGACACTAAGCAGCAACTAACTTTGGTTAATAAATAAACTCCAGCTTTTGCACTAGTTGAACCAGATATCTGGGAGTGTCTGATACAGTTATTTCTTAAACAATTTGTTTCTCTGCTGATCAAAGTCTTGCCATTCATAACTAACTCCCCAAGTGTATTTGCTAACTTCCTTGAGTAAAAGGAATCAAAAAGGTGATAATTCAGATTCAGCTTTGAACTCCAGCCAAGCACAGACTGCTGATTATGTCAGGCTATGTTAAATTACCCTTGCTTCAGCTGTATGGGTTTATTGCGCTGAAACCATAAAGATACCTGAATTAAATCTAAGCTAAATTAAAACTGAATTAAAACTAAACTTCAGACAGATTGAAAACTTAGGTCAACAATTTCAGAAAAAAATTTGACCTCTAACATATCTGGCCTAACCGCCCTATTTGCCTTTACAGAAACAAAGGTAACAGAGCAAATTCTTTTATACATTTCATTTGATCTTACAGCTGTTCTCTTTGCAAAGAGATGAATGCTAGATTATATTTCTCCCATTAATTAAATTCATGCAGGAAAGAAACATAAATATAAACACACCCTTTTATGGTGATAAGAACATCAAGATTTTGTGCATTCAGTTGGCCTGACAGAGTTTTCATTTGATTTGGCACGCAATTTATTATTTGGTATCTGGTAGGACAAAATTATTTTGAACAAAAGTTATGTGATGCCTGATACTGTGTGGAGGCTTGTCTATCAATTCAAAAGTAACTGTGCTGCCTACACAATTGTAAGCTTTAGCTCTGGCCTGGCAGCTCCAGAGGTAAGCTTCTTACTATCTAAATATGTGCTACTCTGAGTAAGATGTTCAGGGATAACTGTGATATCCAGTTCACTGCTGTGTTGTCCTTGTATGCATTCCATGTGAAAAACTGTTGTGGTTCAAACCTATCTGCATTATGTAAAGTTGCACTTTGCCTCATCTCATCTTTGTACATCATAATCGTGACTCTCTTTCCTTTTCTGGACATTTGAAAAAAACAACAACAAAATTCCCAGCTTTCTGAATGGAAGCATAAAACTTCCTTGGATTGTAGATTTTTTCTCTGAATAGTCAGGTGGAACATATGAGATGGAAAAAGAATGGAAAAAAAGTGGGCTATGGAGAAAAGATAGCAAAAAGGCAGAAAAAACCCTTAAGACTGGCTAAACAGATATGACAACACATTCCTTTGACAGTCTTCTAGTTCAGTTCGCCTGGCAAGCTTTGAAATGTCCAGTGTAAAAATGACAACTTTGGTTGGTCTTAAGCAACTTTGAGACCTTATGGCTCCTTCCTCCTCTTTTATTGCTTGCACCTTAGGAATGAAATCTCTCCTTTACTGAAGTCAAGAATGAGTCATTGACTTCACCAATATGAGGATTTTACATGAATTTATCAAGTTTTGTTTTAAACTCTTGGAAAGAAAACACTATTATTTATAAGTAGACGTTACCTGACAGTCTTTCAAAGCATTCTGCACTGAAGCCTGGTCTCCAATTTTTTGTTGCTGTTTCAGCTTCTTTTCTTGGGTTTCAAACCAAATTTTTAGGCACTGCACATTATTTTCATATTCTGTCCAGGATTCCTGCAGACCTTCCAAGAGCTGGATCTGCAATGAAAAATGAGTAGACACTTTCTCATACAATTATCTTTATTTTTTTATATAAATCATTGAAGATCAATGCAAAGTAATGCCTTCTTGGAATTCAGTGCTTTCACTGAAAGCAATTTTAAATATATCTAGTATTTTAACAGAATTAATAATAACCCTGGCTTCATTCAGCTTGGGGAAAAGAGGACAAAAGAATCACCTCACTGTGCTGTACACTCCTTGTAGAAAGGCATGGAGAAAGTGGTGGCAGACTATTCTGGGAGATATTTAATAAAAGAAGAAAATATAAAAGTCACAAATTGCAACATGGGAAGTCCTGATTGGGAGCAAGACAAAAACTTGTCCCCAGCAGAGTGGTTAAGCATGAATCAGCTACTCAGAAGAGTTTGTGGAATCTCTCCTTGGAAATTTCAAGATTCAGATAACCAAGTCCCCTCTGATCTAACTGTAAAGTTAGCACTGTTTGAGAAGATTGACCTAGATGACCTGCAGAGACTTCCAACCATTATAATCTTAATGTTCTATGCATTTTGACAGTTCACTCCAGAGCAGTTAGGTTTTCTTCTTTACCTTTTCTGTTATCAGGCCTTGCAGGATCTGCCAGCGTCTGTTCATTGCTCCAAGCTGTTCTGCAAAATCAGTTTTGTCACTGCGTTTACTTTCAACATCCTGGCTGCTGATTTGTAGCACTGATTGATTCACAAAGTCGACAGTCAACTGTTTGCAATTTAAATCTATCTTGAAACCCTAGAAAAGAGAAAAAAAAATTGAACTAACAGAGCAGCACAAAAGTACCACAATTTCTCACCTTCCTGCAAAACAGAGGAACAGTGTTCAACAGCTACACCTTTATCACAATTGAACTAGAAGGGCTTTTTAGCAATTGACCAGGAATTAGAAAACAAGTCTCTCCCACTGTAAGCAGAGAGAAGGTTCAGCACCACTTGATAAAGCTCAATAGGCACAAGTTCATGGGACCTGATGAAATACATCCCATGAGAGAGCTGACTGATGTTGTTGCCAAGCCACTTTCCATCATATTTGAAAAGTCATGGTGGTCAGGCCAATACCCAATGACTGGAAAAGGGGAAACATTGCTCCTATCTTTATAGACGGAAGAAAGGAGAATCTGGGGAAGTACAGACTGGTTAGCCTTACTTTTGTGTCTGGGAAGATCATGGAACAGATGCTCATGGAAGCAATGTTAAGGCACATACAAGCCAAAGACGTGATCCAAAACAGCCAGAACAGCTTTACTAAGGGCATATTGTGCCTGACCAGTCTGGTGGCCTTCTATGGAATGACAAGAAGAGAAGACTGACTGATGCCATCTACCTAGAATTCTGTAAGGCACTTGACACAGTGACATCCTTATCTCCAAACTAGAGAGACATGGGTTTGAAGGGTGGACTATTCTGTGGACAGGGATTTGGCTGGATAGATGCAGCCAGAGGGCTCTGGCCAATGGCTCTCTGTCCAGGTGGAGAACGGTGATGAGTGGTGTCCCTCAGGGCTCTACTTTGGGACCAGCGCTCTTTAATAAGCTTTGTCAATGATGCAGTGAGATCAGATCCATCCTCAGCAAGTCTGCAGAGGACATGAAGCTGAGCAGCACAGTTGATTCAAGTAAAGAATGGGACACCATCCAGGGGACCTGTGCAAACTTGAGAACAAGGCCCATGAGAAACTCATGAAGTTCAACAAGTCCAAGTGCAAGGTGCTTCACCTGTGTTGGGGAGATGAACTCATTGAGAGCAGCCCTGCAGAGAAGGATCTGGGAGCTCTCATGCATAAAAAGCTGGACATAAGCCAACAGGGTGCACTTGCAGCCCAGGAGGCCACCTGCATCATGGGCTGATTCAAAAGAGGAGTGGCCAGCAGTTCCAGGGAGGTGATTCTGACCCTTTGTTCTGCTCCAGACCCTGCCTGGAGTACTGCATCCACTCTGGCAGATCTAATAAGGTTTACTAATGTGCATATCACTTTGGATTTTCCTAGAAATTAAGGTAAGCATATTAAAAATCACTGCCATAGGTAAACAGCTGAGTAAAAGTAATTTTGGCCTCTTTTCCACAGTATCAAATATTTTGCAGTTCTAACTGGCATACAATTTCAACCACTCCACAAAGCTGATGATTTTTTTTTCCCTTAAATCACTTATATTTTACGTATTTCTATAGATTTAATTGTGGTAATAATGAGGATAATTCAAAATGAAAATTAATAATATTGCAACTCAGTACCTTGTACTTCTGGATGTAACCCTGAATTGCTTTCTGTCCTACTACATTTTTTATATTTTCTTCATCCTGCTGAATTACATTTTCCATCAGCGAAATCCAGCTCATAACTTCAGTGATGGCATGGCGAGAAGGAATTTTGTCCATCTGCAGCTGTTGAGATAACAGACTTATAACTCATGTTGTGAAGAAAATGGGTAAGAATTCCTTGCTTTGCATTTACACAGTTTCAGTAGCTGACAGAGTTATGTCACTCTTGAGTGATTAAATGCTTGCCTGCATTTAATCACTCAAGAATATGTTCTATGACATTTTTAGGTGGACATATATATTTTTCATTACAAGGACTACAGAATGACATTGTTTTGTTTGCCATCACAGACTCAGTTAAGATTTGTGACCCTTCCTCTCTTCCCATAAATCAGTTATTACTAACTCTGAGGGCATTCTAAGCTACAAATTAAAGCAACAGCTTACACTGATAACTCCCTAGCAACTACATATTAAGACAACTTTTCAGTCAGTATAATTCTCAAAGTTCAGTATTATAGCATTAAAACCCCAAAACTGCACAACTAAAAAGCCTCTTGTGCCTATACACACTAGCAAAAATCAAGAATGTTTTTAGATCTATTTTGTCTTTCACAGACTTGAACCTAACCTACTCAATTTGTACAAAACCACTACCCAAATCTGACAGGGCACAAAGAAAAAACACCTTTCCCAGAAAGCATAACAATGTGTAGAAAAAAACCCCACCTGTTCTTTCATTAAAATTTAACAAACATAACTATGGATGTCTGAAAGTAATACTGATGGGTACTAGACAGGCAGGATTTGAAACTAAGCATGAGCCTTCCCACAGTAAAACAGGAATAACTTTTTTCCTTATCTTTCCTCGCATGGAAAAATTGAGAAAGGAAGCAACTAATCAGTGCCAACTGTACAGACTCAGTTTTCTGGAATATCGAAGGCCATTGCTGGCTTTCTTACCTGGTGTAACTTCTCCTGCACTGCTGGGATTTGTGTGAGAAGCTCTGTCCACTGTGTTTCGATGTGGGACAATCCTGCACGTAATGCAGCTGTATCTACTTTCTTAAGCCTGAGGAGCTGGTTCCCAGTACTCAGGACAGAAGATTTCTGTGATGATTTAGCATCCACCTCTTTTGAAAACTCCTGTAAGCAGAACCATTTTTTGTGGAAATAATTAGATACTTTTTTATTTTACTTGGACTTTTAAAACCTCAGAAAGCTAAGAATATCCTCCTTTCCCTTTAAAACTTTTTATTGGTATTCATCAGCTGTATTTCAGAATAAGAACAAAAACTGTGTTCAGTCATAAAATCTTTTTCTTTTTTCAGAATCCTCAAGATTTACAATCCTTGCATATAGCAAAGAAGTGCTTAATGTGCACACATACCAGCATTTTGAAGAACAGCATACCTACATACTCATCAATTTTGAGAAGAAGTATAACCATTTGGTTAATCAACTGTGTAACTGTAATTGGAGAGAAACAGGTGTCCCAGGTTTGTGACCAACTTACCAAAAAGGAGTTCAGGTGGTCTCGGACTGTTTCTAGTTCCTGAGGAACAGTCAAAGACTGCTGGCTCCAAAACTCAAGTCGCTCCTTTGCAGACTGCAACCACTGTGTCAATTCATTTGATTCACTCTGATACCTGGGAAGATGTTTAAAGAAGACTGAAACAGTCATTGCCACTTCTTGCCTCCAACTGAGCAGTTTTTCCTCCATGTGTTAGAGGAAGATACTGAATGCCAGATTTGAAATTTTTTTTAATAAAATTTCAGAAAAATTCTGAAGTAATTTAATTTTACAGACAGGCATGGCATCAGGAAGCTCCTATTTTAGCCACTATGCTCACAATTTCTAAGAGTGCCTAAGTTTTGCCTTTAGAAAAAAGTTTAATGAAGGACAGTAAATAGGTCCCAAACCACTTTGGACAAGCTGTAACCCCACCCAAAGCACATAAACAGACTTTTCACTTCCATTAGAAAGCTCAGTCTTCCTAAATCTTTACCAAGAAGTATCTAATTATTTC